CAGGGGTCCATGGGGCTGCCAGGCAAGCACGGGCTGCCCGGCACCAAGGGGGACGTGGGGCCGAGCGGGCCCCCGGGAATGCCGGGCATGCGTGGCGACCAGGGCCCAAACGGCTTCGCGGGGAAGCCGGGGGTGCCGGGAGAAAGGGGCCTGCCCGGCTCACTGGGACCCCCCGGCCCCACGGGCCCCAAAGGAGAACCGGGGTTCATCGGCCTCCCCGGGGTGCCGGGGTTAACGGGCGGCCCCGGGCCGAAAGGGGACGGCGGGATCCCGGGGCAGCCGGGGCTGAGGGGCCCCTCCGGCATCCCGGGCTTGCAAGGACCCGCGGGCCCCATGGGGCCCCAGGGGTTACCGGGGCTGAAAGGGGAGCCTGGGCTCCCCGGGGTTCCCGGCGAGGGGAAGAGCGGTGAGCCCGGTATGGCCGGACCCATCGGCCCCCCGGGAATGCCGGGAACGCCGGGGCTGAACGGGCCGCCGGGGCCGCCGGGGCCGCCCGGCCCGCCGGGAGCGCCGGGGGTGTTCGACGAGACGGGCATCGCGGGGCTGCACCTGCCCGACGGCGGCGTGGAGGGGGCCGTGCTGGGCAACGGCAAGCCGGGCAAGCCGCAGTACGGCCGAGGAGAGCTCTCCGCCCGGATCGCACCAGCCTTCACCGCCATCCTCACCTCCCCCTTCCCGGCCTCGGGCATGCCGGTCAAGTTTGACCGGACTTTGTATAACGGGCACAACGGCTACAACCCCGTCACCGGGATATTCACCTGCCCCGTATCCGGCATCTACTACTTCGCCTACCACGTGCACGTCAAAGGGACTAACGTTTGGGTGGCGCTTTACAAGAACAACGTGCCAGCCACCTACACCTACGACGAGTACAAAAAGGGCTACCTGGACCAGGCTTCGGGCAGTGCCGTGCTTGAACTCAAGGAGAACGACCAAGTCTGGGTACAAATGCCCTCGGACCAGGCCAACGGGCTGTACTCCACGGAATACATCCACTCCTCCTTCTCCGGGTTCCTGCTCTGCCCCACATAACGGCTGTTGGGCACGTTTCCTTTTCACCCACTCTAGCCATAAACTGTCTTTTTTTTTTTGATAAAAAAGTTTGTTAAAATTAATACAAAAAAGAAAAATCACTGGGAAGAACACGCAAGCCGTTGTCGTGGGACCTTGCTTCACGCTGTTCGATCCATGAGTCAAGAGGGTAATCGGAAAGGAGACATCTTTCTTTCTTTCTTTCTTTTTTGGGGAAGGGAGAAGGGAGGGAGGGGGGTGACTTCCTCAACAAAGCGTATTTGGAACAAATTTTACCCTAGTGACTGTACATCAATCACAGGAACGCGCTTGGGATGGCAAGGATCTGGCTCTGCAGTAAACTGCTCTGTGACCCAGAGAGGGTCACCTGGAAGACCAGACCCCTCTGGTCTGTGATCAAGTGCCCTTGTTTCCCATTCTGAGTACTAGTTAAATAAATACAGCTGTTGTCATGGATGTTGTATTTGCTAACCAGCACAGGGGTCCTAGGCACTTAACACCAACATGTGCAGCAGCACAGACCCAGGATGGATTGAGAAATTTCCTTCCCAAACCATCAGACGCCCAAGTTTCAGTCTCACTGATGCCTGTTGTTCAGATTGGGCTTGGAGGCAGTCTCCCTGATTCTCTCCGGATTCAGTGTGGTTGGATTTATAATCATAAAAAGTGGAACACTTTGCATAAGCACCTTCTTGTAAGAAGTAAATATTCTTTTTAACCCTCCCCCCCAGCACCTTTAGGAGTAAACGCACCCAGGCATTGTGTGTGGGAGGATGACAGACGACCTGTTCCAAAGCCGTTGAGGGAAGCTGGGACCCCTGGGGTGAACAACGATCCTCTCTCGGGTTAATTCATCTACTGGCAAGTCCAAGGGCTAGTTCTGTCCTGTCTGCTTCTTCGCAGCCCAGAGACTTGCTTGGCCTCGTGAGCACCTGGGTCCTTGGCAACGCAAGGATGGCACTGCAAGCCCGGCTTACAGTGCTTCTGGCCTGGTTTGGTAGAAGGTTTAGTTATGCTTTCTTGAAAGTGCCACTTACGGACAACTTGCTTTTACTGTCTCACTATTTCGGGATGTGTAAACTTTTGCATTGGTATCCCCCCTTTCTCTGGGGACCTTTTAATTAAGAAAAAATAGTGTTCGGTCTAACTTTCCATTCAGTCATTTTACAACGGTGCTATTATCTACTTAACAATGTTATTGACAAGTCTAGTGCAATATGTACCTGTAACAGTGCACCATGTCGGGTGCCAATCTGTGACTTAGGTTAAAAAAAAAAAAAAAAAAAAAAAAAAATCACATTTGTCTGTTGTTACCACTTTGTCTCACTAATGCTTGAAATGTTGCCGACCTGAGTATGAGCGACAAGGTTCCGGGAAGGGTAAGCACGGATACTGACCACTCGGCTGCTCTGTCCTTTGCTGAAGGGAGCACCTGAACCCTGTTGCTTTGCAGATTTTCTCACGGTAGAACAGTATTTGCCACTTGCACTTACAGTAAAGCGATTCTTCTCATCCCAGGCAAGCAGCCCGCTGCTGAAATTAATCCACACGCGTTACACTGCATGTCCCTCTGCAAAGGCACATCCCTGAGAAAACAGCAACAATTTGGTCACCAGCTGAGCAACTATTACCCTTAAATTTTCCTAAAGCCTGTTCTATGGCCAAAGACAAGAAATGTAGCAAGAATGGGACATGGGACTGTTCTCCAGATGGACTGTGCAAGATATTTAAACAAATATTCTTTCTCTATTTCTGTTTGGTTTGGTTTTCTCCATAAGCCTGTCCTGTGTTTCTGCCTCTTGCCATCCAGGGCTTCCTCTTGAAAACGCACCTACCCCTGAAATTAAGAAACGCAAAAGGGAGATTTACAGTCGGGAGGCCAGCGCTGGGCCTGGCCTGTCCCCCACCCTGGGGATTTTACTCCACATGAAGCTGCAAGTTTCATGTAAAGATGAAACCTCAAGCCGAAAGGCTGCCCCAGTGCCCGATCCCACGGGACGTTTTTAACTCCTGAAGGCACAGGGGTGGCGGGGCCGTTCGGGTTTTGATCGTAGCAGGTTCTTTCCCAGCAGGAACAGGAGCCGTGCAAAAAAAAAAAAAAAAAAAAAAGAGTCCCTAACGTTACAAGTGGAAGCTCAGATGTTTTCTTCGAGCCCCAGGCTTGGGAGGGGAGGGTGCTAGGACGGGGCCTGGGTCTCCTTTACTGCAGCATCTTTCCTGGGGAGGAGAGCAGCGGCGAACTCGAGCTGGCGGCAGCAGCGGCTCCTTCCCCGACAGCCACGACCCGCAGCGGGGCCGGCAGCCCGCTCCTCCAGGCGACTTATTTATACTGTGCCCTAACCTACACTCCATCTCTTTTCGTTCTGCTTCGGTTTATTCCAGACCTCTTGTTCTAGCTGGCAAAAAGCAATGACAAAGATGCTATAACCACGCCGAGACATTAACTCTTTCAGCGCTGTAGATATTGTTTTGCAATTTCACTGTCCCTTTGTGTGCAGAGCATAACCCATAATCAACCTTCCGCAGCTATGTAACCTGTTACACAGTAATTGAAAGGCAAAGATATTACACGCACATAGAGTTAGGGTAGAGAAAAACGATGCACAGGATGAGGGAGGCTGTTCACTAAACCGGACACTGTCAGGAAGAATTTTTTTTCTGGAGTACTGAGTACGTGATATTCGCCAGCAGAAAGGATTATTTTCTGTCGTGTGTGTGAGCGTATGGGATTTTGGTTTCAATCACAATAATAAAAAAGGTTGGGTTGGATGAAGTATGTCTATTTTTAATTATGAAAACTGCATTACAATGTGCATTTTTATATACAAATTCTTACTATTTTTTTTAAATTTGCCTCTAGTATCTTCATTTCTAACCTAGTATATAGAGGTTTTTAGTTTTGTAAATACTTATTACATGCACTGTTATAGTAAAAGTTGGTTTAAAATGCACTCTTTTTGTGATCAGAAACTGGCCTTCTCTTCAGAACTAAAACTACAGTACTTGATTGTATTGACAAAACATCAATAAAACTTATTGTATAAAGGGTGGGCTCAGCTGTGCCTTTGTCCGATCATTAACAGGCTCGCTCAGCCTTGCTCATAAGACCATCCACACAGACCTCCTGCACTGCATTTCCTTCTCAAATCCAGCTCGCTCATCCCCAGCAGTCCAGCAGACTTGCTTGCTAATTAATATTCTTAGGTAAGAAGGTATTACATGTCTCCTGCAATTAAGGAAAAGATTCCCAGTCTCCGGAAGTTCATTTTTAAAGAAAGGATGAAATCCAGAAGGAAATATGTTTTCCCACCGGATCTCTTTCATCTGGAAGAGACGTCACTTGTTACAGGTGAAGGACTCCCAGGGAAGGACTCCTGGCTGCCAGGCGGGCAGACTCCTCCCCAAGCCAGCCCTGAAGAACAAGCGCTCTTCCCGCTGCGGGTGGCGGGGGCACCCCGCGCACCCCCTGGTCTCTGCACGGCGATGGCACGCCGGGCTCCAGCCCCTCAGGTCCTTCCGCTCCTCGCTGCAAACAGCCCGCAGAGGAAAAGAAAGAGCCTCTCCGGCGTCCCTCCTGCAACACCCACGGGGGTCGGGGCTCCCGACTCGCCCTGCTGTTACCTGGAACCACTCCTGGGCTCTTACAACCTTCAGCCGCCCCTTCCCGCTCCCAGGCCAGAGCGGCCACCTGAAAGCAGGTTTGGCAGCAGATGTCCAGCGCTGAACCTCACTCCAGACGAAGCACAAGTCTTGCCTACACACGAGGTGTCTCTATCCAGCGCCAGGCAACTTCTGCTCTGTTTTCTACAGAAAGATTTCAAGAAGCCGTAACAAAGTAGTTTCAGGTTGAACCTTAGAGTGAAGTATGGGGTGGGGAGAAATAGCTCAGAGGTTTTCATACAACTCCTCTTGTCATTTAGTACAGAAGCAAAGCGTCATGACTTAAATCAAAAGACAGGAGCAGTGGCTAATTAACAAAGATAACTAAGTGATTTTATTTCTCTCCAAGAAAGTCAGAGCCAAACGTTTCAGTACACATTTAAATTCTGGCCTAAAGTGAGCTATATTTTTTAAACAGGAGCTCTTCTGCTCTTTGTGAGTTCCAAACATTTAAATTATAAAGCTGCTTTAAAAGGAAAATATCTTCTTTTAAATAATTCCGTGAATACATCCACACCTCTGGCAGAGTAACGTGAAAAACCTGACATTGTACATCTGAGATCTGCAGCACAATACATAAATACACAAGAGACCAAACTTCCACATGTTCTCAGGACAAGAATTCTTTTATACAAGGAAAACCCATTAAAGCATCACACAGAAGACTGGCACTTGAAGGAAGCAGACTACAGGGAAAACTGGAACGACGCATGGCAGCCAGATTTCCCACATGTGCAGGGCAGCCTGACACACACAACCACCACGTGCCAATACCAACAGGGAGCGAGCTCCGTTTGAGCAGAACGGTCACTTCCCGTGTCACAAGAAATACCAGAGAAGTCATAGAGAATTACATTGTCGCATTCAAGTTTATAAACATTTCCATATGATGACTGCTGGCCTCTTTTTGTTTTCAATTATTAAAAAGCTTTCAACCCTTTTTAGACATGCCATACCCGAGCTGTTACTCCCTTTTGACCAGCTCCGATGGGCAAAGGTTTTAAACTTGAAACTCTGGAACAACACAGCTTTGCTAAAATATTCTTGGCCACCAGTACCAGCTTCAAATGCACAAGTTCTTTTAAACTCTGATAAATTCTCCCCCCAATTAACCTACCTTTCCCTTTATTTTCAGATCATTCTTACCAAGTACAGAGTTTTAAGGCTGTGAGAAGTAACTCCTGCTTCCTGCTGAAGTCATTTTTGTCACTGACTGCAGCAGAACCAGGCACTCAATCCCTGTGTAACACCAGGTTTCACAGCTATCTCCACCCACAGATCTAAACAGCAAAATCACTTGGTGCTCTGGACGTACATGCAGGATGCACAGATTAGGAACAAAGGAGTAGCTGGAGTAGCTGCAGCACAGTGAAAGCCAGCTACATAAGGGAACGCAAAATGCAACAGGTCAGAACGGTGCCAGGTGAGTGGCAGGGCAAAGGACACCAGAGGAGCCGTAACTGGTGGTGTCCTCCTCCAGCAGTAACCATGAGCCAACTGGGATTGTGTCTGCAGGTACCGAGGGCATTTCTCAGTGCCACTTGCAAGGCAAAGAAACCGCTTCTCCAATCTCTGGCACTTTTCATTCTGCCTTTAAGGAAGTGAACCTCCACCCTCCAGCACCCCCACCCCACAACGCGGGTGGTAACCCTGCCAGCACACAGGTCACCCTCCAGGCCCTGCGGGGATGAGCCTCTGGTGACTCCCATCTACAGCCCGCGGCTGGGCAGCTGAGTGTGAGCTGGTGTTTTAAGAGAGGCATGGAGCCTACCAAAGCCACTGCAGGACAGGCCACTAGCAACCGAAACGAAGGCCACGGCACACAGGAGTAGAGGAAAAGAGCAAGGAAGTCAGTGGATTCAGACAACCCTGTAATGACAAAATGGCATAACGGTGGACAAAGCAAGAAGCAGAAATCTTACGAAAAACCAGATGCTCCTGTACACTTCAGGGGAGATGCCCCCGCTGTCCAAGGCGCCACATGCAGCCACCTCCCAGCTGAACCGTAACCGAAGGGTTCGTCCCCTCTTCCAAACCAGCTCGTGCTCCCAGCTCGCAGCTCCCAGCAGCAGGCGTGTCTCGGGTGGAGGCTCGCTGGGGTCTGCAGATGGCACGGACCCACCACCCCATTTCTGACCAGAAAAGCGGAGGTGACCACCCGCTTCGCCTTCAGAAAACACACTCCTCTTGGAGCTCAGAGCCGCTGGCAGTAGAGTTCATACAAGCTATTTGCCAGCTTCTGTGTCTCTTGAAAAGCCTCACAGCTCTGCTCCCAACTTGGGGGGATCTGTTCCTCCCCATAATAAGCCCCTGCAATGGCTCCTGCCATGGTAGCGATGGTGTCTGTGTCTCCACCCAGAGAGATACAGTAGATGATGGTCCTCTGCAGGTTGTTGTAGTGATCAGGAATATCTGGGTCAGCTTCCATACAGCGCAAGAAGGAGTAAATTGCAGTAGGGACAGACCGCAAAGCAGCAATGCCATTGCCTGTTAACAAAACCAGTCACCCTCAGCGCTGCAGAACACTTGCATCTTCCTTCCTGCAGAGGTACCTTTTCCCTTCTAACCGCAACTTCCTACTGCCAATTACTTTAATTACCGGTATCACTGATTTTGTCATGACAAGGTGCAAAAGGTTGCACCTCAGAAACCTCCCCACAGTTCCCCAGTACTACTCACATCCTGGAGACCAGCTCCCCGCTACGCCAGTACCGTCTGGCAATGCACACCTACCCACTCCCACCCAGCTGAAGATCTCATAGCCATTAAGAGATCATAGAATATTAAGAAATGTTATTCACAGTAAGTTTTTCCTAGCAAGACAGTTTTTTCCCAATACAGAGAGGGTGTTGCTGAGTCAAGACTCCAAGAACTTACTGACTGGTGAGCGCAGGCACCCTTGCCAGCACAGGCCGCAGAGGCCAAAGTGGCAATCTGGGGGAGGACACACCGGCCCGGCGTGCCGAGTTAGTCCTGCTCCCAGCTCTTTCCTAATACTTGTAGTACAGCAGGTACTTACCTAATTCAAACAACACATCTGCTTTGGGAACACTGCTGAGCTCCAGAAAGTCCTTTATTTTCTTCAGACGCCTTGAAAATGGTAAATCCTCAAATCCCAGCCTGGAAACAAAGAGCACAATGAAGGAGAGAGAACGCGAAGAGCCAGAATAAACTGTACACAGCAGGCAGTGCTCCTCACAGCTACTTACGCTCGGGCATCAGTGAGAGACTTATCATCCGCCTCTACATCTTCCATGTGGCTAATGAGCTGCTCCAGGAAGGTCTCCTTGCTGAGCCCTCCCTGCAGGGCGAGATGCACGGCCAGGGCCTGCAGGATGGCCCCGTTGTAGCCCAGGGAGTTGGCATGGGTTAACTCAGCACTCAGCTTGGCAAACTGCGAATGAAAACACATCGTGAGCAAACCCCCGTGAGAGATCACGGCGAGAGCTGCCTGACAGCAGGGACTGCCAGGGCTGCAGCGCCCGAAGGAGCCAGGAACGGTACCTTCTTAACATCCTGGATGTCAGAATACACGAGTGAGATGCCTGCCACCCTCATGGCACCGCCGTTGCCGTAGGAGCCTTTCCCGTTAAACTGGGCTCTCGCTGGTTCAAACACATCATTGCACTTGGGGCTCAGGAGCTTCTTGAAGACATTGACAACAGCCATTCCATAGCCCCTGTTGGGTTCCTTCTTGTACTCCTCAGCAAACCTGGCGTGGGCAAGGAAGCAGCAGGTTACACAGGGGAGAAAAATACACGGGGTATTCGGTCTGTTACCGAAGTTTGTAAAGAGGTTGTGTAAAGCCACTTGATAAAGTGAATTAATAACACATGGGTAATTCAGTGACAGTCGGGGTTCAAGTGATTCAGTTCTGTAGGGAGAGAATCCAACTCCCAAAAACTGGTGTGAAGGGAATAAAGGGTGTATAAACATCACCTTTCACAACCCACTTGTTTCCCTCTCAGCTTTGCCTTGAAATAGAAGCAAACTGGAACCATTTCCATGGGTCACAACCACAAAGAAAGTCTTTTGTTCAAGTTCAACGGAAGAGTTTTCTAAACAAATAAATGTTCTCCCTTAAGTGGAACCAAATGCTACCGGGGCTGTGGATTCAAAAGGGAAATAGATCATAAAAAACCTGAAGCTGACCTCACTAATATTCACTAACTAAACCATGGGAAATAGAAAGATACAGCAACAAATAAACATGAAAGGAAATGCTTCTTAAATTTCTAAGCATTATATTCCACAAAGATGAACATACATACACGGCTGCACACAGCAGGTCCCATCCTGCTTCACTTTAAAGCAGGCTCTGAACCCACACTAAAGCTAATGGTGCTGCACATTCCAGGACAGTGCAAAGCACACAATATATTACGGAATTAGCCATCACTTTTCTAATTTTTTTTCCTCCCCAAATTAACAATGACTTTGCTATAGCCACTGTCCCCTTTCACAGAAACTCACAGTGACTGCTTAATTTTGGCAAAGTTTTGCCTTCGCTAGGAAATGTCAACACCCTGGGCCCTGAAGCCAGCTGCAGTCCTTACCTCTTGGCCATATCAACTTCATCAAACTCTCGCTTGGCTAGCAGGGACTGCACCACTGACCTGCTCATGGCTGTGTCATCTGTGTACGAAAGCGTTTCTGAAACAGAAGGTCAAAACATAACGTGACCATAAAGGGACAAACTCTCCCCCTGTCCTCCACTGTCAGCACTTCCCTACTCTCCAAGGCCTAATTACCCGGATAGCTGGAGCTAAAACATTACCAGAAGTTCCCCAGCACTCTGAGCTTGTCACTAGCCACGGTCATCATAGTTAGATGACAGAGAGCAAAAGATGCACAGCAAGAATGAGATGGAAGGCATTTCAAGATTAATAAGTGTTTGACATCCAGAGGCACATACAGACAAGTGAGACAAGTCTCTTTCTCAAGGAGTTTGCAGCGTACGCTGACAAGCAGAGAAGAGAGAGCACAGCTGCATTTCTGGACAAGACTGCAAGAGAATCGAGTGCCTTTAAGATCTTACTGGAAGGGTTCACAGGGCTTGCTGCACAGCTCAGAGCCCCAACACAAATCAGAGAGTCAAACAACCATTCTGGTGCTTCTCTTGCTCTACTCCTTATCTATTTTTGATCTATCCACTCCTTGTTGACACCCCAGTTCCCTGGCTTCACGTGAGCAGCACACAGCAGAGCACAGATCCCTCCACACCAGCCCTGTGCACTCAGGAAACAGAGACCTGCCCTGGGGGAGCCCGAAGCTGGGCACTGCTTCAGCAAAGCCACCCCCCACCCCGGGAAGGGGGGGACGGGACACCCCCCAAACCCCACAGCACAGGGGCACACGCCAGAGTAGGCCTGGGGAGCACCCATGGGTGTCCCAGGGGAGGGTGTTTCCCCCCCCCCGCCCCGTCCTCCTTCCAAAGCCCGATCCTGAGGGTGTCGGGAGCGGGGCCCGAGCCGGTGGGTACGGGGGAAGGGGGATGTGCTCCGGACCCGACCCCCGTTCCGCTCCCGGGGTTTCCCCCCCCCCCCCACCTCTGCGGGCGCTGCCGGCCGGTTCCCCCGCCTCCGGCGGCGGTTCCAGGCCTCGGAGGAAACGTAGCAGGTCGGGCAGCTTCACGACGCTCCTGCCTTCAAAAACGGCGCCCAGGCAATCACCCAACAACGCCCCGGCCAAACAGCCCCGAAACCGGGCGGCTCCGGGCCGAGGCCGCGCCGCTGCCCGCCCCGTTCCTGAGCCCGAACCCGCCGACGCCGCCATTTTCTCCCGCGCCGCCGCCGCCGCTCTCCTCCGGGCCGCCAGGGGGCGCTGTCCGCGGCGCTGCCGCGGACAGCGCCCCCTGGCGGCCCGGAGGAGAGCGGCGGCGCGGGAAGCATCTCGATGGTCGCTGCCTCATTTCCCTCTTTCCAGGAAGGGAAATTTCCCTTTTTTCCCCCCTCAGTTTCTTATTATCAGAATTTAGAGAGCCAGAAGAAAAATCTAGGCTTTTTTCTTTTTTCTTTTTTTTCTTTTTTTCCTCCCTCCAGCGGAGCATCCTCTCCCAGCTCGGGGAAGACGTGCTGGTCCCATTGCATGTGGGGTAACGCCAAGCCGTCACGCGCAAACCCCGGGGGGCACATTGGCAGCGTCTGGAATAAAAAAAACAAGGCAAAACCGCAAGCCCTGCGATTCCGTTTGAACAAGGCCGTCGCCACAAGAGCCAGAACGGGGCTCCAAGCTCTTGCCTTTGTGGGCGCATTAGCCCCGCTGGGCTAGCAGGCAAGGGGAAATCCCAGCCGAAACTTTTTTACTTTTAATCATTAAAGCGAGCAGATTCGAGCCGGTGCCCCTGCAGAGCAGATCTGGCCTGCTGCCACCGCTACACAGTCCCTTTTTTGAGAGCACCGCCTTGCACTTTAGAGGGCTTAAAAAAAAGAGTGCAGATGGATTCAATCACCGGGAAATGCTTCCAACACTGTCGGATGACAACTGCTCTTGGGGACAGACTCTTTATTGTTTATAACGCTCCTTGGAGTGCAAGAAGCTATAAACATCATAGAAGGGGACAGACAGTTATATAACAAACTGGGAGGAGGGAGGAGAATTACATTATCCTAACACACCACAGATGTCCGCTTTCCTTGCTACGGAACTGAGTCACTGGTCGCTTTTCTCCTTGGTGTGGCTCCTTGCACAACGCTCCCCGGCGCGCTAAGCCAAGTCCGGCTGCTTGTTCTTCAGCGTGGAGAGCACACGGTTCGTGGTCCGGTTGAAAGTGTCGAACTCCGGTGCAAATTTCTCAGCAGGGACCACAAGTTTTTTCCGGCTGTCCATGCACTTGTTGTCCAGCACCAGGGAATTGGCCTTGTAGCCAATATCTGTCTGAATGCGGTGAAGTTGTCTGTAAAGAGCGTCCAAGGCACCCCTGGGAACAAGCAGAGCGAGGGGAGTTGGGTTCAAGCACTGGATTCACTTCCCAAGTTGCACTGGAAATGCCCAACTTCCCACTTTCTGGCAGAAATATCTGTGCAGCGTTTGCCTTCTTATGAAGAATGACTGCATCAGACATCGTGGTGCACGGCAGCAGCGTCTGGGGCTGCGAGCAGAGACGTGTGCCCTGGGAGCCCACGCTAGCCCAGCGCAGCACTTCCATTTCTTTCTTTACTTTTCACCCATTTTTTTCTTCCCCTTTTAGAACTGTCTGTGCCTGGTTGAGTCAGAGTCAAGCAGGGACCATAGTAACCCCATTCAGCCTCCCACCACACAGACCCTGTCTGCACCCTGCTGCCCACTCCAGCTCCCCACCAAGCCCAAAGACTTATTTCCACTCCCGGTCCCGACGGACAGGAGCTCCAACGTGCAGCTTCTGGAAGCGTGACAGGTCCGGGGCTGCGCATCGCCACATCCCTCACGCGGGCGACGCTGGCCCGCTGCTCTGCCCCCGTGAGGAGACTTACTGTGACTCTTCCAGCTTCTGTTTGAGCGCACGGATCGTGCCCTCCAGCTGGTGCACCTCCTCTGTTAGCCCGTACTGGACCTGCACGGCGGGGAGGGAGAAGGTGGCAGTGGTTAACAGGGCTGAAGGGGCGTTTTACAAAGGCTCTCACTGCCCTTCTCGCCCAGCTATGACATTTATTCATTTGCTTTGCTAGGTGACTGTAGGATTCATTGCTCATCCCCTCTGGAGTTTTCTCCAAAATGCATCCACGTTTTCCAGCCCCCATCCTGGCCAGTTTCCCCAGTCCCTCCTGGCAGGGAGTGCGCCAGGCGAGGCTGGTACCTGATCCCGACAGAGCTCCACACCAGGCCGACACATGCGGGTTTCCAGGCGGGTGTGTGCCACTTTCAGATCTTGCATTTTCCTCCGAAGATCTTCCTCCAACCGTCGGATGTCCTCCTCCATCTCAGCAATTTCCTCCAAGGTCTAAGGATAAAGACATGTATCATGGGGGCCAGCCAGGGATACTGGAAAGCCGGCCCCGTGCACCCTGGGCTGTTACTGTGCTGGGAATGGATTTTAAACAAGGGCTGGTGGAGTTCTGAGTACTGAACCCCGCTGCTCATAGATCAGGCTTTTCACACGGACTGGATGTGGTGCTGGTGGTGTTTTATAGCTACAGTGGTTGAGACCAGGGGTGAAATAAAAAGGCCAAAACCTGTCACTGTTGCTGAGAAATGCCAGAGCAGCAGCTGTGACAGCAGAAGGAGGTAGGAGGTTGCAGGGATCATACATGTGCCACTTAACAGCTCTCATGTGGAAACCACGCTCAGGCCAAGTAGCTTTCCACACAACAAACAGCCTTCTGGAGTCAATTCCCACCCAAGGTTGTGGTCGATAACCAAAGAAGCGACATTTACATTCTGCTCCTGCCATTTCAGTTCATCATAGGCTCTTTCCAGGTCTCTAATCCTCTTGCGCAAGGCAAACTCTGTCGCGACACGCTGAGCCTCCAGCTCGTTGTTTGTCTGAAGAGAGAACAGGCTCCCGTCACACACGTCTGGAAGGTGTCACCCTCCCAGCTGCTGCCTGTGAGGTTGGGACAAGCCTCTGAGCAGAACTAGGGGGGTTCTGGCAGCTGCCACGTGTGTGTGGGTCGCGAACCCCCCTGTAGCCAAAGGGGCAGGGAACCACGGCCAGGTACGTGTCTTCCAGGTCGCTGAGACTGCTGCGAGCTCCGCAGCATAACCAAGCCCGCCTTTTAAACCAGGAGGAGGACAGCTGCTCTGAGGCCCGTGCTGTCTTTTCGAAGACCCCCTGCCCCTGGCCACAGCACATGCCAGCCCATTCTCCCACACGGGATCCAGAACTTCTGCACCACCGGTTCCCAGCCAGGAGACAGATTTACCTGGGCGATGGCAAGCACCGTTGCTTCCCGGAGCCCAGTCGAGGCTTTCATTTCTGCCTCAGCATGGTCCTTATTGAATTGGCTATTCTGTTCCCACTCATCCATTGTAGTTGATCTGTGAACAAATTACCAGTTATGAAAATAAGTTCAGTGTTTGCAAGACAGTTCAAAAGGAACCACCTGCTGCAGGCCAAGGTGGCTTTGTGCAGTACAGAATGATTCAGGAATTCTGGAGGTCGCATCCTGCCTGATCTCACTGCACCAGCTGGAGACTGTGACCTGTGGCTCCTGCACCGAGCCCAACATCTGCCCAAACCGGGGACACAGCCAAACCATGCTGTGAAATGCCAAGCAAGTGAAAATGTGCAGCAGCTCCCCCGTGAGCTGTGCCAAAGGCTGGTACCACACGACTGAGTGTCACCTACAGCCAAGCACACGGGAGGCAGGGCAGATAGCTTCTCTGGTTTTGTGGTGACAGCTTAGATAGCTCCCAAAAGGCTGTAGCTTCACAATTCAAGAGCCACAGCAGATCTCAGAAGTCAACTCCTGTTCCGAGCAATCTCCAAAACTGCACCCGTCAAGCCAGCACGTAGCATGGAAAGCAGCAGCATCCCAGGGCTCTTTCAAGCACCAGCACAGATTTGGCCACACAAGGCCAGGCTCTTTCCTTACCCGTCTGGGACCCGTGTTGGGTTGACCTTGAAGGAGATGTTGGGAGAGTTTACGCTGAGCGATAAGCACACGTTATCTATTTCCAGCGCTTTCATCTTGTACCGGTGGTCACAGCTCAGCTTCTGGCGAGCTTCCTGTAAGAGGCTGCAGAAAGCGGGGCCGGAGTCAGCGGCGAGCATGCGGAGGGAAGAGGCAGCTCACAATTTCCAAAGCTTTCATCACCACGTCAGTCGTCTTTTTAAAATGCCCTCCCGGTGAACTGGGCCCAACTTGGTAAAGCCGCGCCCCCGCTTTTAGACTGCCTGCCCGGGTCCCCGTGCTCTGCTCTGGCATCGCGCTGCTGACCGGAGCTGCCCACCCTGCTGCAGCGACCCACGAGGGATTCGGGCCTCCAGGTCACTGACTCACGAGCCAAGGCAGGCGGCACGAGATATCTGCCCAGGCCAAAATTTTCTGAGGGTGCTTCTGAAGTCTCCCTTGACATGCTCTCCCCTACAAACCCCCAAACCCCATAAACCTTGACACCAATCACCAAAGGCTCCTCTGAGCGGTTCATCGCCCCCGGCCCGCTCGCCTGGCTCAGCGTGGCGTGTCAACTGCTGGGGCCAAGCAAGGAGGGCAGAGTCCGGTCAAAAGCCATGTCATTCGCCTCACCAGAGCTGTTCGAAGGCTTCGCTCGCTCTCTGCTGCAGTTCTCTCTTGGCTTTTTCGATCCCCTTCACCTCCTTGTGCAGCTCCTCCTCCACAGGGTCCCTCACCACGTCGATGGAGCGGCGGCTCTCCCGCAGCGTCAGGCACTCAATGGAAACATCCAAAGGCAGGTTCTTTGCCTGGAGGGCACGTTCTGCTGCTTTCTTCACCTGGAAGAAGCACCGGCTGGGTGTGAAGGGAGGTCTCTTTCAGAGATGGGACACAGAAAGGAAGGAGAACCCACCCATACCCTCCCACTGCCTGTCTTTGCAGATCTGAAACCTTTTAGCAAGTCTTAACACATTAGTCCTCTACATCTGCTGTCGTCATTGGGAATCACACCTTGCTGGGGGCTGATGACTCCAGGAGCAGCAGCCTCTGGGTTTAGAACTAAAAGAATCAGAGATGTCCCACTGCTAGTCTCTATTTAAAATCAAACATTTTTGAATGATGGTGGTAACGTACTTCTCATTATCTTTCAGAGCTTTAAAAAACAAACAATGAAACCCACTCAAAACCCCAAACGTGAGCATGCAAGGCACAGCTCCATAAAATGGCAGGGCTCAGCCAAGAACACAGTGGTTTGCTTTCCAGGAAGTCATTTCGCCGGGTACGGATCTCAGTACACCTGCGATAAGCCCCCCTTGAACTCCATATGGGCTTGCCCGTTGCAGAAGACAAGCCTCAATTATTTAACATCCCATGTTGAGAGTGTAAGCTGATTTTCAGCCATCTGTCTTCCCAACATACTTCAGCTAAGGCATCGATTTCCGCATCTATGTCTGCAAGGCATTTGTCCAGGGACTCTTTCCATCTGTTCACGCTGTTGATACGTTCAGCCAGGCGGGTTTGGTTGTCGTGTTCATCCCATTTTGTCTGGAATTAAGAGGAGAAACGCCGTTACTCTTTTTTAAATTGCAATTGTGAATCTTGCAGAAGCCTTTCCCCATTTTTCAGGCGTGACCGACCCCTCACAGGAGTACAACACGTTGCCATTTGGTCTAACAGACATCTACAGAAATGGAGAGCACAGAAAACACCCCAAGCTGCAATGGACACGAGAATCATGCCCAGGGATTTCACGACAGGACACATGCATCATTGGACATGGGTTTACAGGAAGTAAGTGTGCATATTTAGCAGGTTCTGTAGAGGTCAGGCCTTCTCCTACTCCCTTGTTCGTACACTCGGACCTAGACACACTGCCATGCTCCTCAGCCTGCTGCTCTGACAAGCCGGGGAGCAGCCAACCTGCCCGAAGCCCCACCTGGTTGTTGGTTTCGTTGCGGAGAGCTCGGGCTTCCTGCCGGACTTGGTGGGAAGCAGAACGCTGGTGTTCAGCGTCAGCTGAGATGAGACGGGAGCTGGTGTGCCAGTCGGGCAAGGTGAACCGCTGTCCTGGCTTTACACTGAGCGTGGCCATCTCCCTAAACACGTGCCTAAAAGGGAGCAGAAGATTTTTTGTGTTTATTCATGGAAGCACACCAGAAATGGCGAGGCATCCACAAGCTGGAAAGCTCTTCAAGAGAAAAGCAGCAGCAGGCTCTAACCTGGCATCTCGCCTACTGCAGACCCGCACGTCCACCCAAGGGGGGAGCACAAGGGCAGGTGATCAGAGCCAAGCCCTGTCCACCCGCCTCTCCCTGGAGAACGGTGCAGAGACACGGAGCCGCTCACAGCACCATCTCCCACAGGGTATTTATTGAGCTTGGACAAAATGGCTGATTACATTACTGATTCTACTTTTGTTACAGCTGCGTAGGCTCAGCCCAGGGTTGCAGTCCCAGGGGACCCAAAGGCTTTGCAAGAACCGTATCGTTTGCAGCCGCCTTCCTCGCTACCCAGCACAGCCCTGGAAAACTGGCAGGAACTGCAGAGACAACAGGATCAGAGCAGCTCCTGAGGAGACTGCAGGTCCCCAAAACCCCAGTCAGGTGCGGTTCTGGGGCAGACTCACTGCCTGGCTCCAGTATACCCCGTGCCTATCCCCCCAGTCCTCGGGCACAGGTAGCTGGGACACAGCTCCTCGAGGACAGTGGCACCAACGGCTGCTGGGGAGGACAAGCCAGGGAACGCCTAAAGGGAAGGAAGCCCCAAAGGGAAGGCGTCCTGCCCCAAAGGGAAGCAGGACCAGAGAGAAGGCACGACGGGCTGCAGGACACAGGGTCCCGAACCCCCAAAGTGGAAGGGGGGGACAGGGAAGGGGCTCAGCCCCCCGCTAAGGGGGACCCTCACCCTGGTTGGGCGCAGGCAGCCCCGAGCTGGGCGCCACAGCTCCCTGGGGCCAGGGCCCTGCCCCGCTCCTGCTCCCCCCGGGCCGACCAGTGCTCCCAGTCCCCTCCTCTCTCCCCGGCAGCCCCGGCCCCCCTCACCGCTGCTGGGCTGATCCTGCCGCCGGGCCGGTTGCCACGCACGCGTGGGCCGGTTGCCACGCACGCGTGGGCGCGTTGCTGGGCGGCCGCAGGGACGGCGGAGAGCATCGCGCTCCGCCACGGCTCTGGGTTTGCGGGAGGATTTAAACCGCCCACCCGAGAGCTTCAAGAAGTTATACCACCCCCTTTTTTTTTTTTTTTTTTTTTTTTTAGTAAAACTAGGTGGCGTTAAATCAAATCAAACGGAAAAGGCTGAAAGTAAAATCCTTCCCCGGCAGAAGCGCGGCAGCCACACCTGGCACCTCCCTCCAGATGCCACCCGGCTCCTGCCACTGCAGCTCAGAGACCAACACCTCCATCTCCATCTGCTCCTGCGGACAGGGCTTTGGGAATAAATGAAAACGATGCGAATATAAACAAACAAACAAACAAAAAAGAAGCATCACATACGCATTTCAAAAAAATTTTATTTTTCAAATGAATACGGTTCGTTTACAATACACCCAGCTTGATGGTATCTAAAGCCAGTAGAGATCTGATGACTGTTGTGTACTATACACAGTCGTACAGAGGTTACAGATGCCTACGAGAGGGAAGGAACAGTGAAAGAAGTTGACATTTTACTGTGCTGGAAAGAAAGCAACTCTTGCAACAGGTAGAAAATTTTGGCAAGAACAATTTGTCTGGAAAGGGAGAACGGGCAGAGGACACCGCTTCTGCTTAGCAAGTACATCTCAAAACACACCCGACACATGGTTTCCCTCCCACCCCGCATGGTTGCAGCCCACATCCGCAATACAAATAGGCACACATGGTCAAGATGGTTAAGTAAAAATAAAGGCTTTTACCAGTTTGTTTGCCATCCACCTACGATCTATTTGTGCAATGTCTCGAGTCACAGCTCTACTTTAGTCTTGAAACAATTCCCTTTTGCTCTGAAAACCCTCAGTACCATCACGGTGGGAACACTTCCAAGTTCCTGTTTAAGCAATGGTAACACCAAAACGAGAGGGGAGCAGTTACCAGCATATGCGAAAGAGCAAGACGTACACATAGAAGGGAATCTCAATCCACCGGACTGGTTTATTAGAATTTTATTCTGAAGAGGAATCCCAAACAGCACAATCATTTTTTTTTCAATTTAAACATATGGTATTAAATACGCAAAATTTATATGCACGACATTGCTTCCAGCAGTCTCCTAAGCAAATACAGCTTGATCACTAGCAACGTTTATGGCACACACTATGCCACCTGAGCCACCTTCTCCTGAAGATACTTTAATACCCATATTGGCTCATAACCGAATGCTACCAATTACCGTGAAAGCTTTAAAGTAATACCTGCTGATAAACAATGTTCTTATCTATAATCAGATACCTCCAGGCCAAAAAACAGCCTAGTTTGTCCCCACGACAAGCAACAACACTATTTATCCACCATTAGGCTACCTGGGGAAGCTTAACTGCTTACACCAAGGGAAGAAACAAGAATATGACAGGAGGATCTGTACCCTGTGAGCCCAAAGCGCGTCACCTAACCCATGAAACGCAGGATCTGTACACCAGTGTCACTGGTCATGGCAGCAGGGGCTGGGCAACGAGCCTGTAAAATCAACATTTCAGACCAAAAACTCATTCTGCCAACTCTATTGCTGTGCTGAGGCCAGCTTTTCAAAACTGCCTGCAAACCAGATACAAAACGCAGCTTTCTAGAAGCAGGTTTTTCTATAGGAAAACAACATTAAGTTGTCTCAAGGCTAGGTTCAACACTGAAAGCTGTAGAAATGAGAACGTTTCACTGAAGAATAGAAACCAAGTCCAAAGAAAACTAAAAACTATAGCCACAGGAGGAAAGTGATGCACAAAACCAAGTACCCAAAAGAAGCCATTCTTCACTGCAAGGTCGCCAGAAGTCAGAAGACAAATGTCATCGCTAGCAGTCCTCCTCTCACCAAGTTTTTTTGGCCTTCAATTTTCCTCAACAGTTCAAGAGCACTGCTCAAGTTTCCACTCTGCTGGCACACCATCAGGTTCAAAAACTTCAAAAGGTTCTTTAAATTGAGCATTGCTCCAGTGGGTAGTACTTTGCTATTACGTCTGAGTGAACGCTAACTGGCAAGACATGGATATTCTATCAAAGAAACTGGCTTTTAAATATATTTAAGAGATTTGCAAATGTAAGCATAATGAAAGTTTATTAGTAATTATTTTAATAGCTAATTTTTGCACACCTGTACTTAAATGGGTCATGGACCTATCATTTGTGGGCTAGCATAGCCCTAAACTCAACATATAGTCATATTTTTCTGTGTTGCTAGATAGTATTACAGTAGGTATTAATTTTCCAACTGCCAAATGTGTTTGAAAGACCTATATAATTCTCAGCAATGAAAAAAACCCTTTAATTTAAATAAACTTGTCCTCTGACAGTCTGTTTTGCAACAAATGGATTACCTTAAAAGAAAGCAACAGGTAAACACCATGGGACCAATCGCCACGGCCTTGCTCGGGCAGAGCTGCGATGTAAGGAAAGAGCACAGGCACACGTCAGAGACAGGCTCCAAACAGAACTGTATTAACTCAACATGCAAACTTGCAAGAAAGTGCACAGCTTGGTGTCCAGAAGTTAGCGCTTCCACACCATGGTTCATCCTCAGAGCTAGCTCTCGTAAGGCGATGTGGATCATCATAAACATTTTCTAGAAAGGGTGAAAAACGAGGCAGAATCGTTTCCCCAAGGTCAGAGAGGGGACCTATTTCAGAGCCAGTGTTGATAGCAGGGTTCCTGGCTGCATAACTCATCAGTATCTCAAAACTGCATAAAATGTAACCTAGTTGAAAAGCTCTTCCATTTCAGTCTGAAAATCCACTTTTTTTAGCAGCTTTAAAGCCCAAACTAGCATCTAAGGACACAGGTGCCTACTTTTGCGCAGCACACAAGTCTACAACAGCCCTCCCTCTACCAGTACCCCGATTTCAGAGGAGGGGGGAATCTCTCCTCCCCTCGTGCCACTTTGCTAACTCCTTCCACGCCCAAGAGACCACACCATTCTGTAGGCAGACATCACTACCCTCAGCTGCTGGCACACTGGTTCCTGAAGAATTATCTGTGATGTTTAATCCTCACCTCCACGTTCCCACTTAATCAGACCTCTGCACTGCTCCCTGACATTCGCTGGACAACCAACATTCCTCATGTCCTTACAGCCACCAAACGGGGGTAGGGGGGAAGAAGCAATGGGGTGTACGGAAAGCTGCAGGAGCACAGTAAAGAGTGAAGACGTTACTGGACAGGCAACATTCAAATAAAGGCAGAATTAATGATTCTCATTAGGTAGAGAAATATACCAAGGTTCAATTTAAAAAAAAAAAAATTGCAAGTCTACCAGGAAGTATGTTTATTTGATGACATTACTCTCCAGAATCCACTTATTTTAAAAGCTTCTCCTCTCTGGGTAGTTCTAATTCGCAAATAATTCAGGGCTCACTTTAAGTAATTCAACGCAAAACCAACTCCATTCTGACCAAGGACTTCAAGCTTTAAAAAGTTAAATACTAACCATACTACCAACGCAAACGCAAGTTTTTTTCCAGCTCTGTTTTTCACCAGAAAAAAGGCACATGCTTGCTCTCAATGAGTTCAAGTCCAACACAAACAGTTCGGGACCCCATGGCGAATGCTTGATGTTCCCATCAATTTCCCTGAAGGGCTCGAGCTGACCACAGCGCCCCTGACATCCACCCAGCTCCGACCCCAGCCCTTTAATTCTAGACAGCTGCTTTCGTCCCCGTCGCTCTTCCACCGCCCCTCACACCCTGAGCTGCTTCACCGTCCCCACAGCTGCAGCGTCACCACGACCGGTCGCACATCGGCAGCGGCGGGGCGCGATCCCGCGGAGGGGAGCAGGGAGGTGGGCAAGAGCTGGAGAAGAGCAGAGCAACTGCAGTGCTACGGCAAAAATTAACTCTGCAACTGCCTGCTGCTGTTTCTCTTGGCAGCCAGGCACGCTTCAGTGTGAACCGCGTGAAAACTGCAACCAGAAATCTATCAGAGCATCGATGTATTATGGAGGGGTGGGATATTGCTCACAAAACCCCCTTGGCTCCGTTGTTTCAAATAGCACCGATCTACTGGAACTTAAATCCCTTTCGGCCAAGTAAGGTAGCTTCAGGGTTGAGATACAAAACACAGTTTGATTTAACTATACAGCTGTCACAGGCACTGCCACCTGCTTCTCAGCACAGTCCTTTTAGGAGGTGAACAGGCACTCTTAAAAAAAAAAGGACAGGAAAATACTTTTCCTCACGTATTAGTCTTTGAAGTAGTCATTTGGGGTCTTTTGGGGCAAACTGTGGATGCAGAGATACAGGTTCACAAGGTTCTAGCAGCATGAGATTTTTTCAGTATATTCAGTTTTTTCAATATGAAGACGAATTTCCTCCTTGCATTTTTTAGAGCTTTCTGCTATTGGTTTAATAGCACAGTCACCACTACCACTTCTCCTCTTCTTAAAATATACAGCCAAGTCAGTTCAGTTTTAGGATTAATCCCAGCACAATCTACTATGAGTAGCATCAATTACAGCAAAACCTCAGTCTCCAATTTTGCCAGGGAGGCAGATGAATTAAAACTATCCATGTGCACTAGGTTGTTGGGGGTTTTTGGTATGTTTTTTGGTTTGGTTTTTTGTTTTTGCTTTGTTTTTTTTTTGTTGTTTTTTTTGTTTGTTTGTTTGTTTGCCTTTTTTTTTTTTTTTTTTTTTAATTTTAAGTAGTTTAATAGAGGGTCTACATCTTCAGCAGTTTATTAGCTTGTATCTAAACTGGATACTTTAAAACATCACGCATCCTCCAGTGAATGCAACAGAAAGATACAGAACATTTCTACTGTAATTAAATGCATGTGTGCTACAGTTCATCATCACCACAGCAAGACTTCTAGGAAGAGATCTCTGCCCAACAGAAACCAGCATCATCGACACAAGGCCATTTAGTTTCTTTTGATAGAAAGAAGAGGCAGCAACTTCTTTCTAAATCTCAACAGCTTCAGTATTATTTAAATGTAGATAGAAAATAAACTGGTTGATAGGCAAGGGAAGATGGAGAGTATTGCTGCAAACAAGCTGATGGTGCGAGATTTTTGGCCCTTTTCAGTCTAAAAGGTAAAAATGCCTACTACTAAAAGGGATAGAAGACACAGTTTTGGCTCAGAATTTAGACTGAAAAAATGCTTTCTAAATCCTAGCCTAACAACATTAAGAAATTGGGAATATAAAATCATTTAACATCATTGCAAGCTGAAATACCAACAAAGTGGCATTGGGCACTGTAATAAGACAAGAAAGTTGGTAACAAACTGCAAGAAACATCAGTTCATTTCTCTAACTTGAATCAGTAGAAACCTACACAGCGAAAAGGGACGTGGTTCGTGGTCGCCGGGGGTCGCGTAAGTGGGAGTGCTGAATCGCGCAAAACTCTGCGAGCGTCTCGGCAAGGAGGTGCGGGCAACTCCAGCCGGGGACACTGCCCCGCTCCGGGACTGCGCCCCCGCGACAGCTCCTCCATCGCATCCCGACGGACGGATGCCGAACAGCTCTGCTTACTCCTAGAAAAAGCCTGGACACAAACGTACTCCTGCAAAGACACCACTTGCAACTGAAGTGGGAGTTTTGCGCTTAAGCTCCTGATAGTCAAAAAATATCCTGACTGACATCAAGTTATTCTACATCTTAAATGCCCGATACTGTATAAACAATACTAAAATGAACACAAAATAATTTTAAGCTTAAAGAAACAAGGTACCAATTAAAGTAGTCTGTCTATTAAGCTGTTTTATTCAGTCTCCTCTCAGACGTGAGTAGTTAAGCTGACTTTGGAGAAGAAAAACAAAACATTCAGAAACTTCTCCCACCTAAAAATAAGTGTTAAAAGCAACATACAGACCAGACGCACAGACCTATGAGCTGCACACAGATTACCAATAAATATACAGAAACACCACAATAAAGGACAAGGTTCATAATAAAAGAAAAAAATCCGATAATTGCTATTAAGACCATTACAAAAAAATGCAAGTTAAGGGTGTATTTTTTGCAGGCATGTGCAAGCACATTACAGTGTAATCAAAGCAGACCTTTGCTATTATTATTACTTTATGCAGCATTACAAGGTTACTGAGGTGCAGTGTTTAATAGTCTAGTCTACAGCTTTTCCTGACCGGAGGAATGCTCACCAAACCCGCCATGGACCCACACCCTCTCCAACCCTCGGAGCGGGGCAGCATCCCCCACCCCACCACACTGTTCCCATCCCGAGAATCAAACTCCCAGGCCGGAATTCGCAGTCCCGCCGATACCCACGCATCACTCCCTCAAACCCACGGGCCACGCGGGAGGTCTGCTCACGGCAGCACTAACCATCTCGGCAGACTCCAGACAGCTTTCGGTTCGTCTGCTCCACCTTCGGGAGCTCGCCACCTCTAGGAGACGGCATCCTTCGAGAGCTATGGATTCCCCTTCAGCACTAATGACATTGCCCCCAGAGTCCCACGCTGTTGCTTCTCCTACACCCCCCCACCCTCCCACCCCCTCAACGCAAAGAGGTAAACTGTATTGACTAAATCAAAGCCGACTCTAGCCTACCAGCTGAATTTGGTGATCACTCCTCAATGCCTCTCCCTCCAAATGAAAACACCGTCCTGGTTATTCTTGGTCCTGACTCAGAGAAGCTGATGCTTGAAAGTACCTGAAAGATACCATCAAACACTTGGCATTTTCAATAATTTATCTTAAATTTTCAGCCATGTACAACTGGAAAATAAAAATCTACAGCACCATCTTCTAAAAAGGCACTTTCTGAGGACTGTCTTTCTTAAAAAAAATAAAAATCACTCCAAGTTTTAAACAGTGGAACAGATTTGTTTTAAAAGGACCCTACGTTAACTACCCGTGTTAGGTGAGGGGGTACCTCAGACAAGATTTGAAAAGGCCAGGGCACATGGGATGGAAAGTGGATGGAGTCTTTCCATCAACACCCTTGTTTCTGTAAAACCAACGCTGCGGTATTTTCCCTCGCAATTCCTTCCCCTCCATATGCACCTCTGCCTACTCGGGGACAACAATTTGGTTTTGTCTTAGTGTCACAGAGATCAGGATTCTTGAGACTCTGCTAGGGAGGTAAAATGTAGGATCCTGTACCTATCTCGTTCATACCTCAACTACTGACAGTACCAAATCTTCTACTAGCAGAAAGCATCAATTAGCTCAAGCTCTAACCACTATCTTTTCAGGTTTACAAAAAACGATGAGTGAACTGGCTAAGTGAAGTTTTATTTAAACATGTGCCGAAACAAAAAAAAAAAAAAAAAAAAAAAAGATACCCTAAGACCCAGTATCAATCTAAAGTACCATCTTTGGGTAGAAAAGACAGACAGGAATCTTTCCCTTTGACATCTCTACGGATTTTTTCACTAGATCCAATCAACCTGCCAGTAGCAGCCACAAAACTCCAGAGCACTGGGAGGGGCAGAGTATCTGCCTGGCGCGAGCAGAGACTAAGATGGTCGTTTGGAAATAACCGTCTCTGAAAACTGAATTTATAGTTTCAGTGTACATAATCTGAGCTTTTGATTCCTTGGTTATAAAAGTGCTTCGAGTACTTTTACGAGTTCACAAAACGGGGAAAATATCAAAAGAGGACAAGGTATGAAGAAAGTGTAAAAAAAAGGCCTCAGGCTTTTTTAAGTGTAGGCTGAGCTCGGAATTTCACCAGAGTGGACTTCAAGACTAGTAGAAAACCCAGCAGTTGTAGCTGGAATTTGTACAGAAGATGACTACCTGGTATCTCATGTTGAGCATTTTAGAGGACAAAAATTTGTACACGAAGAAGTGAAAGTATTTTAGGACCAATAGCATCTTGAAATAATTTGACTGACAACTTCCAGAAACCCATTTTACTCCTGAAAACCATTTCTGTGGCCAAACAAACTTCCCAAAAGATGCCAGAATGAACCCTATAAAAATAAATTTTGGAGGCGTTTAACCAGCTTACACACTGAACAGTAATACAGCGATCCTGAGTAAAATGGCCACAGCTGAAGTGCCCTACAAAGGAAAAAAAAAAAAAAAAAAAACAAAAAACCAAACAAACCGCTACTTACAGTGGAGTCAGTCATTCTGTTAGCAGATGCCCCAAGTTTAACGCCTCAACTACAAACCACTCTACTCCTCTCCAGATCTGGATCTACTAGCCGCCGGGGCGCAGGCCTCGGCAAGGCCTTCTGCTCGCCGGGAGCGGCCGCCGGAGCCGACGGCCCCAGGCTGCTCCGTCCCCCGCCCGGCGCCGGGGCCCTTGTGCGGGCTCCCACCACGGGAGCAATTAGTGGCACTTGTTAATTACAAGTGAGGTCTCGGTGCAGTCAACTGGTACAGTGTCTTAGGAGACTGGAACCGTTTTTCGAGATAGGCATCATAAAAACGAGGCCAGCGTGCCTGCGAAGCGAGCAGAGCGGCCGGCCTTTGCCCACGTCCCTCTCTGGACTGTGTGCAGACAGCTCCCGGCAAGAGAGGGGGATCTGGTTCGCCACTCAAGATTTCCCCCAAACAGCACATAAAATTTGAGATTTTTTTTTTTTTTTTCTTTTTAAAGGAGAGCAGGTACAAAAATAAAAGAAATCCATATACTCTGAAAATATACTGGAAACTGCCACCACAGATGAGGTACCATTTATCCCGACCCCCCACCCCCAAACTGCAAACATCAAAATATATATGTTTTTAAACAAAGGAAGAATATCTGGCTATTTAATCTCAGTTAAAATGACAGCACCCTTTGTTACACTTGATATTTCACACCATTAATTCTCTTTTGAAAAAAACCCAAGATATCTAACACTAACCTTGATTCCTTGCTTATCTCCTCATTCCTTAGTGCAGTAATTGTCCATCTCCATTTAAATAAATATAGCAGCTACAGCATCATAAATGTGTGGCCCTCACAACGCCAGTAACTTGATATCGTAATACAAATAAGTATCGGCACTTTACGTAGATATTTGCAAAACCAAGAATAGAGATTAAAACATCCAAATACTCTTCACATGAAAACCAGGTAAAATGTTAGCTCAACAAGTAATTTAAGTCACTTTCCCAATGAAGTTTCCTTAATATTTGTTTTCGTGGTGAAAGTAGCAAGCAAAAAAGCTTCTCAAATCATAGTCACCGAGAGTGGGCACGATGAGAAGCGTACAGTGTCTTTGAAAGGAGCATTAAAAGACTTTTTAAAAAGGATTTTTCACATAAATGCCAGAAATCCACAAGAAGTCTTCGTAAAATAGTTGTTTGTTAGGTTTTTTTTTTTTGATTTTTTTTGTTTGTTTTTTTTTTAAAAATTCTCTATTGTAAAACAATTTTCTGTAAAAAGCCTAACCTGAACCTTTTATAAACCGAACTAACTGGCTAGAGTGCTCCTGGGAGAAAACTGTCAGCTCACAGACTAAGAGAAACGTTGGAGATTTCCTGGGAAACCATCTCGCGCGGAGGACTCGGTCACCCCGACCTCCCTGCCGCGGCTGCTCGGGAGGGCGAGCGCGGGGGGCGCGGGGCCGGGGGTCCCCCCTTGTCACCCTCCCAGCTCCTCTGCGGGGACCCCCAAGCCACCGGCCAGCTGCCCACCGTCACGGCTGTGTCCAGTGCAATTCGAACTCGGCAAAGTTAGTCTTTTTACATTATCTTCCTTGCTACTGGGAGATAAAGTATGTATATACACTCACTGTTTCGTAAAGCTCTTTGAGACAGCGTTGTGAACAGCACTACATACGTTGCAGTACAATATACAAATGCACAAAATACAGTACTTTGCTTTCTGGCAGAAAAGATGGGGAGATTCATGCCTGTTGAAGCAAAACGGGCTCAGATTTTAGGCTCAAAATACAGTATATTGGCAAACAGTGGATTTCGTGAGAATGACAGGAGATAAGCTACTTATACCAACCCACTGGTTTTCATGTGGAGAGCAGGTGGAGTTCAGAAGGGCTGGGATAACAGCAATGCCCATACAAACGATCTGCAGTATATATACTATGAACCAGTGCAAATAAAAACAGTCAAAAATGCAGTTCACGAGTTTACAAAGTGCAAAACTCCCCAGTCCCCCTCACTGAATAAATGCTCGTCTCTGACATCTTAAATATTGTTTTACCTTTAAAGTGGAATGAAAGAGTCCCATTAATTTGTTTCACATTTCAGTGATTTAACATGTTAGAACTATCCCAGCCCTCTTTATTTGCAAAGTGAAATGAAGTTACCAATAACTTAATTTTAAAAGGAAAGTCATTATCAAAGAGGAAAAAAGCCTAAAAACTTTTATTAATTCCACACATTTTACTGATGTCAAATAGATTTAACTACGCATGTAAAAACTTAGATCTTAATAAAAAACCCTTTCCATTTAATTCAAATATCCTCCACATTTCAAAGCCAAAAATATGGCCAATTCCTTTGTTAAATCAAAATACTGCTGTGACAAATAAAGCTTGCAGAATTCTAGAAGCATTTTTGCTATTTTTTGATTTAAAAAAGGAAAATTCAAGATTCCTTCTGACTATAAAACTTTCCTTTCAAAATTAAGGCTTTTACTTTGTCCTTTTAAAATCATGGAGGTGTCCATTCTTCCACAGTTAGTGGTACAAACACTGCTTTAGTACAGCTCAATGGACACAGTTTTTCTTTAGAACGCTTATTGCACTAAAAGATAGCAAAACAAGTTGTCAGTTTTTTAAAAATAAACATGGTTACATTTCTAAAAAATAAAAGTTGATGTTGACCATATGTTCTGTAATAATTAAATTAAAGCATTATTATTACTCTAATAAATATAAAAGAAACAAAAGAAAGCTAAACTTCAAAAACACATACGTATGAAATCACATTAAGGTGTGAGAGGCAGCAAGTAAACTAGCATTTTTCTTTTTTCCAAAAAGACCTTAGCTCTAAAATTTCAGTTCTGGTGTTTACTATATTTAATCCCATGAAACTTGGGACATCTGATCTCATGTGAAGCTTCAACTTATTTGACTTGCTAGATAGAAAATAATTGAAACTTTTGGACTAGGTAAAACAGCAGCTTTAGTAAATTCACCAGGGAGCAAGAAGAGTTTGGATCACTACTGCCTGCACATAGTATCGCTAGTTTCTTTGCTTTTTAAAAGGGAACTATTGGAGCCAAGAACTCCAAAGCTGTGAAGAAAGACACAGAGGCAGCAGTTGGCTAAATTATGTTCAAATTATTGGATTAGTGTGCAAAACACCTTCCCCCGCCTCAATTTTTTCTAGCTAGGGCTGTACATTCAAATGTAGTTGGATATGTTCACATTCGAATGCTTGATGGCAACACTGAGAGAAAGATTCCTCAATGCAGTGGGGTAAAAAACAGAGGTTTTGGTGTTTGGGTGTTGTTTTTTTTTTTTTTTTTTTTTGCACACTTCCCTTCCCCAAACAATCACTGTGATTGTTCCTATAAAGGTGGTTTGCCCCTTTTTTTTTTTTTTAAATGACACCATCAAGTTTACTTTGTTATTATTATTATTTTTTTTTTTTTTGCAAAGATATTTGTGCTGCCGAGCCACTTGAGGTAAAGGCCTAAGAGGATTAAACTACGAGAAATAAAAAAAAAAAAAAAAAAAAAAAATGATGGCGGTGCTTCCGTGCCACAAAAGCAGTTGGCTGGTTTCATATTGCATAATAGTGCTGTGTTCCTCGATGAAGTAAACAATCTTCCTTGTGTCAATTTAAGGGTTAGCCTCTCGCCCCTGCACAGTGTCAACTTCAGCATGATCGGAGGCACACCCCATAAACCAACCCCACTGGAAACATACAGTGTACGTGGAGTCATTTTGCAGTTCTTCCTTTCAGTGAGTATGCTTCCATTTTATTGACTTAAGCGAAGTACATCGTGCGTAAGGTGTCTTGGTGAATTTGTACAGCCTTCGCGAGGGCCTGTGGATCTCTCCCATTGCTTTGTCCTGAAACATGGCTTCCTTCAGCACTGCGAGAAACCGAGAAAAAGACACGCAGGGCTGTAAATCGTATTAATTCGGATCAAAAAGCCGCCTTTGCATCTCTTTAGCGTGTACGAGGGCAACATGGCAATAGTAATAGAACTGGACACTGAGAAGAATCTACCTGTCTATTCACTCCGCAGCCTCAAGGCTCTTGACAAATCCCTTCATCTTAGCTGCTCTGTTCGTTCATCTAAAAATAAACCTGTTACAAATATACTGATGGCCTGAAGGTTACAAAACACTTCTGACGTACAAAGCGGAGTTAGGTAAGTGGAAGGCCCTTAACATTTGCTTCATACATGACTAATTCTAAAGCGAAAAACTAAATGCACGGCTTGATTCCCTCAGACCATGTCAAGGTAATAACAGAATACTTTGTTAAACTAAACTTAATTCTTTTAGTCTGAGTGTTATTCAGCAGAATCCACCAACCCACTCCTGTCTGATACTGAGCAGCAGCTGCCAGCAGTGATTACCTTCAGACTAGGTAACAAAAATTAACTGCAAAATGGGCAATAATTATCTATAGTCAGATGGCTTTGTGTCTGACAATGGAGCAAAGAGCAACAGGGACAAAACCTTAAGCACACATTTTCATTTACCTGTCATGTTCTTTGTCCACAAGATGGTATCGTGCTCTGAATGCTACCAGATGAGCATAATACGCTGGTGCAGGTATAGAAACCGATCGTGTACAGCGCACATATGTGTGGCAGAGCTGGTAAGTCAGCAGCTGAAGTTCATCTGCAGTAAAACAGTTATCATCCCACAAAACATGATAGTGTGAGGGACGGCTGGTACCCTAAGAAGAAGGGAACATCGATTCACTTATTTGGCTTTTCCATACAACTGAGTCAGATTTTTAAGTTCAGAAAGGGCCAGACTGTCTAGTCTGAACTCCCGTGTAACAGCAGCCAAAGAAAATTCAGTCTTATGTCAGCCCTAAACGTGTTTAAAGATGAATAAGTCTAACATTTACATGATTATGTTACTCAGATTGTTCTTGCTTGGAAAAAAACCCACATGCCTTCTAGAAAACCCTCAACCATCAAGACCTACTCCCAACATGACTAAACCATGATTACACCACCTCTTAACTACTTTCAATTAAAACTGTTCCTCATCCAGACACATTTCCCTGAGAAATAACTGCTGCTTTTATCTCCTTCCAATTCTTTAGCACCCTAACTTGAAGTATGAACACTAGAAATGGCTCCAGTATTTCAGAAATTACCTACAGAGTGCTACACAAAACCATACACTTCTTTACTTCCACGCAGTGTCACCCTTCCTACAGGTCCAGGAGTTGCACTGCTCTTTGGCATTATGCTCAATCAGATTTTTCCACGTCACTCGTGTCAAGGCTCCCCCCAGACACGCGCTTTCACCACCTGTACTTCAGCGTTTCCTCAGAGATCATCACCAAGTACCAAACACTGAGCACAGCTCCTTGGAACTCTGTGAAGTTCTCTACTAAATGACTGACTTGCACTTATTTTGAAAGAGTCTTGGAGTGAACACTCCTCTTCCCTCCCGCTTCCCCCTACAAAAGGTGTGATGCACTAGAGTTAAATCTTACAGTGTAACTGAATTAGGTCAATAGTTGTCTTTTAACCAGGTTAGAAGTCTTTTTTTTTTTTTTTTTTTAAAAAAAAAAAAAAGATAAAGCATCCATTCAGTCGAGACTTCTTGCTACATTAAAACCAATGAGCTGCAACTACATCTGGCATTTCTGCTTCAATTTACACTATTTTTCACCCCAGGGGCCAGAAACTGGCTTGCCCAGACCTAGCATAAAGTCAGACATGTAAGTGGAGAAAAGCAGCAGAAGTTTTGAACTCTTGAATAAAAAACATCGCAACGATTCAAAACTGGAAAAGAAAACATGCCCATACAATGTTAACAAAGCTTATGACAATGTGGTCAGACTCACATGATAGAAATTTAAAGAGGTTTTTTTTCCCCATTTTTAAGCAATATCCTGATACAATTTTTGTCATTAAGTTGACTCTCCACTGTATTGCTGGCAATACCACCACATTGTTGGATTAAATTTCCACAGCCTGTAATTCACTCATCTCCATGTAGTCAGCAAATAATCAAACATTGCCTTCTGTCTTTCAAACCATTTACATTTGAAAACTTGATTCAATGCTAAATCCATTGTGGCTATAAAACATAAAAGTAGCAAGCTCTATTTTCAGAAATAACAAAGGTACAAAATAAAGTGACCTCTTAAAAAAAATAAACATAAAAAAAAGCATCACTTACCATCAGTTCAAGTTTTAAAGGTGTAGCAGAGACCACCTCTTAAGCACAAAGTACTATTAGTCCCACAATAATGTGCTATCTCAGATAAAACTGAGCTAAATGACATTTCCATACTGAACTGTTTGTAAACACAGGCGTCACAAAAGGGAGAAAACCCCAACATGTTCTAAATTTGCATTTACTTACAAAGAAATGATCGTACCTGTATTCCAGCATGGCTACAGAGGTAAAAATCAAACTCATATGGATGTGTAATGTCTGTATCTACAGTAGTTCCAGCTGGAATATTGCCGCTTCGTCCAACCTAGAGAAAAGGATTTGTTAAAAAGTGCAGCTAACAACTGTTTATACATTGCAACTCCAACTAAAAATACAAGTTCCTATTCAACACATACAAGGTTTCAGGGAATGAACAGCCTCAGCACTCTGTGGAATACGTCAGTTCAGCAGCCTGGGATGTATGTAGCCGCTGTGTGGCTCTTTACCATCTCACCGCAGAACACTGCGCCTACAGCACTTGAGAACTTTCAACCTCAGAAGGACAGGAGAAGCTGCACACACATTTGTGCCTAGAAATGTCAGCCTGAGTTTGGATTGACTCACTCAGAAGAACAGAAAAGTTAAGGGTTCCACCACTTTGTGTTTTCTTCTATTGCAGCTGCTGTAGACGTGCTCCTAGTTATACGAGTATTAGCTACCGGTCACTGACAGAGACTGCTGTCCGTGTGCAACACGACAAAGCCTGAGGGGGACGGTTTATTTTCTTTTTTTTAAACATACTTAAGGTGAATGATTTTTCAATTCGGGGCCACATTTTTATTTATCGATTCAACATCTTCCCTGAATGCAAAGACAATCAGGCAACAGAGGCCCGTGCTAGTATTTTCTCGAGCAGCATAAGTGCTAGACATCAAGTTTTTCACAGAAAGCTACTATGAGAGAGGGCAATGATTACCCTTTCTGTTCTGTCAGCACAGAACAATCGTGTATGATGTCGCTTCTGCACCACAATATAGGTTATTCCAGGCTGGTAATCCTTCTCCAAACTGATGCAGGCTTCTCTAATAGCTAGCAGTTCATAATACAAAACCTACAAGCACAAGAACAGAATAGTTAAGGTTTTCCTTCCATTGTTTTCTACACACAACACCTAATGAATGGCTTGTAGTTAACACTAAGTGCAACTCTGCCACACAATTAGTAATCTTAGGAAGTTCTTAAAAATATATTGTTTCCCAAGTTCTAAGACCTCTCCTTCCCAGTCAGGCAGGAAGTTGCAACTTTTCTTACCCAACATGCTTAAGAAATTCTCTCCTTAAAAGTCTCAATTATTTTGTGGCGTCATTGTGTAAATGTAGGCAAGTCAAACAGTACAGCTATTCAAATGTCAGAACTGGAGTTACGCTGTAACACAGTCCTTCAAGAAACCCACAAATGAACCAACCTGTCGAAACTGTCCTTCAGAGACCCCGTCCCTGTAGAAGATGATACGTGTGGGCTTGAACCGTGTGGACTTGTAGAACTGGATGAGAAGCTCTCTCACCATGGAGGCTAGATCTTGGATGATTTCCTGCCTGGGTCGCTGAACTCTCACCGTGGCACAGTACCGGCTTGGATGAGCATCCATACTACCTACAACCTTCAGGGGAAGATTACATGAGTAAAGGCTTCAAGATCAAATCTATACTAAAAAAAGTAAGAAAGCCAAGAACAGCAATTTTCAAGTAAAAGATGCTTACATTAAAACAGCCACCACAGTAACATTTGTAACTAGAACTTGTGATAGGTAGAGGTTTAACACCTTTTGACAAGGGGTATAAAACTTGCCCTCCAACTACCCCAAAATGCATCTGCAGAATTCATCTGCCCTGAAGTCTTCCCCTCTGTTCACAGCACACATGCATATTCTTATAATCCAGACAGACTTTTTTCCTTTGACGTTTTACACAGAGAAACACTTCAGTTTGCCTTAGTTACTTTAAACAAGGACGCAGTTTCTGTAACTGTAATCAATGCCAAGTAAAATACCAAGGGGACAATATAGGAAGGGGCTGACCAAACATCCAACCACCACCTTCATCTCCTGGACTGTACCGACACAAGAAGGTAAGAAGTACCAAAAACATTCCTGCCAAACCAGACCTTTAATTACATTTTTCTCCTTTAAAATACAAAAGTAATAAAATCACAGACTGGTTTGGGTTGGAAAGGACCTTAAAGCCCCCCCAGTCCCACCCCCCCGCCCCGGGCAGGGCCCCCTTCCCCCAGCCCAGGGGGCTCCCAGCCCCGTCCAACCTGGCTTTGAACCCTTCCAGGGAGGGGGCACCCACAGCTGCTCTGGGCACCCTGGGCCAGCGCCTTCCCCCCCGCACAGGGAACAATTTCTGCCTTAGATCTCACCTAAATCTGCCCTCTGCCAGTTTAAACCATCACCCCTCGTCCTATCCCCACACCCCCTGATCCAGAGTCCCCCCCCCCTTCCCTGCCCCCCCTTTAAGCCCTGGGAGGCCGCTCGAAGGGCTCCCCAGAGCCTTCTCTTCTCCAGGCTGAACCCCCCCAACTCTCTCAGCCCGGCCTCCCAGGGGAGCTGCTCCAGCCCCCCCAGCATCTCCGTGGCCTCCTCTGGCCCCGCTCGAGCAGCTCCGTGTCCTTCTGCTGTTGGGGGCCCCCGAGCTGGCCCCAGCACTGCAGGGGGGCCTCACAAGACCAAATGTTACTAACATCACAAAGCTGCACTATTTCCTTTAGAATATTTTTTCAGAAGTATATTATTTAACATGACCGCCATTTTACCTTGATTTATAAATTAAAAGTCTAAGAAAACAGTCTAAAATATCAAACAGTGTTTTGGTTTTTGTTTTGTTTGTTTGTTTTTTGTTTTGTTGTTGTTGTTTTTTGTTTGTTTGTTTGGGTTGTGTTTTTTTTTTTTTGTTTTTTTTTGTTTTGTTTTTTTAAATACATGATTTTTAAGAACATTGGAAATGTGTACAAAGAACCAGCATAGGCCCTGGAAGATATCTGACAGATATAATCCACAAATTGCATTTACTATTCTAACATTTACCCAAGATGAAAAAACAACGCTAATTTCACAAAACTTACAGCAGCGATGGAAGGCTTCTTTCCATCTCCAGCAGGAGGGTGAGTGACATCAGCTCCCAAAAAGATCACTGGCTGCTGGAACACAGAAGGTCTTCAAAAAGAAAAAAGTGCTAAGTCACACTTGTAGATGAACAGTTGGCGCAAGGTTATTGCTCAATGTGGGGTTTTGTTTCTATTTCAGCTGAGTTGCACAGAGAAGCCTTCTTATCAGGTACTCTGGCCAAGCCTGAACAACGAAATCTTTGTGCACAAGAGGTGAACTTCGAAACCACCATAGCAGTGATCCCAAAATACACTGCCATTTAACTGTGGCATGATTCTAGTGGAGAAAAGCCCCAGAGCTGCCCCTGAGCAGTACAGACAGCTTCTTACAGAAACTATTGTTCTACAGGATGGTTACAGCAGTGCTTGGAGCTCGGCTAAGCACCACTTTGGTTCTGCATCAGACGTGCAACAAATGGCGGGGTGCAGTAGCACACACACCTTTCTGGCTTGCAGGATTTCAGCAGCAGGATGGTCTCCCAGTGCCTCTAAAATACTCTTCCACACACCATTGTTTCACATTTAAGCTTTGGTTCCAAGCTCTCAGGAAGTCTCCGGAAAGAATTCTTAAGGCTTGCACTCAAAAGAGTTTTTCTGGCTTGCTTCCTTGCATTACATCTCTTGCCACCCAAAGAATAGATGTGCTCTGGTAAAGGTTAGAGTCAGTCAGAATTTCTGAACTTCAGGCACAAGAGACTTGTGCTTCTTCACAATGATTCATGTGAGAAAGGTGGGAGCACACATGGGTTGGACTTCTCAAACCTTCTCACAGAAGGCATCAAAGCAATCGGAGCACACGTTCAAACAGAGCACAGAATAGCCACGCAAAGAGCAAGCGTGAGCTAAACACTCGGCCAATTAAAGTGAGGAAAGATGCCTCCAGTATTCTTCCACCCTCATTAACAGCCCATTGATATGTCTAACAGTTACACTGTGATGTACTGCATGCTCTTAATCCTGCAAAAACTTCTATTTATATTTCAACATCTGTAGATCTTCAGTTTCTCTTCCAATGTTTGATACTGATCCTTGGCTTAAGACCTAACTCATGGGCCAACAACCACTCAGAGCCCATGCTAGAAGAACTTAGATTCTACCCCAAATATCATGTATTATTACCAGAAGAATAATTCAACTTCAAACGTAGCCATATTTAAATTTTGGGTGCTAAGTAGCAAATGTAACCACATCTGTTAAAACAAAACCCAAATCAGTCTCCACAAAGAATCTTACCGTTGATGAGGTACAAGGATATTGTTGATTCCTCCTAGTTTAACATTAATCTTCAGGCACAGATTTGATAGGGTCTGTGGAGATGTTTTAATGACGTTTTTGACTTGAACACATTGTGTGGCCATTCCCAGCAGCGTATCTCCCACACGCTTCACCTCCGCTGAGAAGCAAATATTAAGACACAACTTGAGTCCATCTGAAATTATTGCTCTATTTTGATCTTTGCTTAAGTCACAGTAATTTAAATGTACATACTCTGCAAAATAACCTCCAACTTATCTGCATGCTCAGACCTGCTTCTAACTCATGTTGTCTTCAGACACAAAGCAGTGGTTTCTAATGTCTAAAGAACAGTCCTGAAGAATTTTCTACCATATGCTGGGCAGCAAATTTCTCAGAACAATACCTGCCCAAACGGATAAAGACAGAGGTATTCCCTTACCGTACACCGGTGTTTTCCCTGGCAGGATGACAATGATGAGCTGGAGCCCTGAATAGGTGTTCTTGAGGTGTCGAAACATGGGCTCCACACTGTCTGCACCCTGGGCGTATTTGCAGAAACAGGGCTGGCCTTGGATCGGCATCCCTGCGTCTTTGGAGATCTTGCGCAGCTGGTCCGTGAAACCCCTGAAGATGAGAAGTTTTTTGAATTGTTGCAATTGTTGCAGCAGCAACAGCACACAACCACCAACGCAGAAGGGGACAGAAGAACCATGTTACTCAAATGAAGATGGTTCCATTTAGCTTTTAAAGAAGCATTTTAAAAGCATTCGTTATGTGGAGGCTGTACAGCTTTGAAGCACCATAGGCCAGAATGGGGGGAAAAAGAAGTTTAGACCTCTCTTGTACTTCACTGAAGATGCTACAAAGAACTTTATACAAAGCAGCAACGTCACAAGATCTAAAGCCCACGGGGTACCCAGGTACAGTGTTTTGACTGTAGCTTCTCTCCTTAACATCACAGATGATTAGAACCAGGTAAAATGCTCATGTTTTCACTAAGATGGCTTCATTAAGAGAACAGTCCAAAGCCTGAACCATGACATGCCTTACTTCAGTATTTCTTCTCTGCACTGTCTCTGCGTTGCAAAGCAGGCTATAGCCCACATTTTGATCTCAACACCAGTGTGAAACTGCTTCCCTCGCATGTCCCATACTCCATGGCTTGGGGTTGCCACTGTTCGATTCTGTGGAAACAAAAGCAACTGATATTCAAGTGACTGAAAGAGTCTATGCCATTTGCAGTTTCAGGATAACAACAAAAAGTTTACCATTCAAGCTCTGACCCCTGTATGGCAAGTGCAACTGAAGTGACTAAAATAGTCCGTGTGCACAGGAAATCTCTCTGCAAAACAGAAACAAAAGAAAAAAGCAAAAACCTCACCCGTCCTCCATACTGCAACATGGGAGCCGGGAGCACGCGCCCTGTGACATGGGCCATCTCGTCCCGGACTTTGAACTGGAACTCTTGAACAAATGGATCTGCATCATAATTTGCACTTCTCACCTAGAAGAAGTTTTTCCATGTTACAGAAGTATCTATTAGAATTCACCTAACAAACAGGAGACCAACAGGAACACCGCAGAAGTGTTCTACGACAATTCTCCTTGTCATTGAAAAAGCCTCAGATTTAACTGCTCAACACTACTGACCTATCCCCAGTGAAAACAATTAATATCATGAGATACATCAGATTTTTTTTTTTGTTCCCTTAGTTACTCAAGTGCTCGTTTGTAGCATGCTCATTCAGAAGCATTTTGTTTACTCACACGATAGATCAAAAAGCATTCTCCTTTAAAGACAAGAAAACCCAAGATTAAACAAATGAATTAATTTTATTACTGAATGTTCATGTCTTCTGTATTTTCTAGAATAGCCTTATTTTAATTGAAAAATTTTGGCTAACTTGTCAGCTCAAAACCCAGACTGTTTCAAATAACAGCTATCAGTTTGTAAGAGTATTCAACTAAAAATGTTCAAGTCAGAAAAACCACTGATATTTAGTATCTGGGTTCAGCACCAAGAAAAGATATTGGAGTTATCAGGCAAAAGTGTGTACTAAAGAAAGCAGTCAAACATCTCACATACAAGACTGAGCTTCAGGAGACCTAGAATCATTCTTCTCCCCTGTTATAAATTCCTTGCATGATTCTGGACAAATAAATTGCTTCAGTTTGTTTCAGTGACTATTAAAATTAAGTAGAGTGATGCTGCCACCCTCCAGCTACTAACAGAAAAAAAAAAGGGAAATTCTCAAGACCCAAGTCTTCAGCTCATGATTTTAAAATATTTAGCACTGCTACAAATATAAACATTCTATAATAAACAAAAAAGTATGGTGTTCAAATATCAACAGCAATCAAGGAAAAGAAAAGTACCTAGAACAAAATCTTACCTTCATGTGTTTGGGTACTAAAACCCAAGTTCATCTCACAAATTGGTTTAAAAACCCTGAGGGCCCCATACAGCAAAACACTGAGCGACTAGTCCTGAGTGACTCCAATACCTACTTGGAATTATTTGTAAAGATTATAACACAAGAGCCCATACTGCTGGACTCACGCTATTGTCACAAGCTACTGTAAATAAATCCTATTTAAAAAGAGTAGTTAAAATCAATTAAGTTAGAGGATGAGAAGAAAGGAATGAAAAGACTAGGTTGGTCACATAAGAAGTTTTTGCATTAACATGACCTAGTCCAGTGCGATTTAGGGAGTAGTGTCACACCAAACTGAAATTAAAGAACTAACCAATCTGCTTATTTCCTCTTGCCTATCTGGAGCAGATCTGGCTGTGGCCTTTATCATAGTCGATGTCTGATTGTCCGTCAGCTTCTTGATACACCGCTGGCCAGCCACGATGTTACAGACCTTAAAGGAAAACCAGAGGTGTCAAAACACAGCAGGAGCACTTTGAAACAGATCCTAACATACTGTACATCCACAGTACCATGCCACCATGCTCAAACGCACCCCCAGTGTGTTTCAGCAACTGCATATTCTCTCTCATAGTGCTAAAGTTTAAAGCATTTTTTGAAATGCAGATAGTCTTTAGTGAAATAAAAGAATAACGAATGCGAAATATGTAAACATGTTTGTACTGCAAAGTGCACTCCTTAGCATTTTGCAAAACGATACAGTCTACCAATAACAAGCTGGTTTATCAAAACAAGTTCATTACTTCTAAAGGCAGGTAGGTGTGTTTCTGTTCTTGTCCCACTTGTAGGCAAGGAAGATGAGGGTATTTCAGCTGAAGGTTGTATTTCTCTCTGAAATACTGTGCTACTGTTCTCTCCACAGTCTGGCCATTTTCTAACTGTAAAGGAAAGCTGAAAAGACATACATTTTAATAAAATGTACAGAAATCCTAGTTGGCAAGTAGCAATATCCCCCAAAGAAATAAAATAGTAGGTCCTGTTACACATTCAGTGTTAAGCTACCACACATTTTGTGCTCTCACGAGCAGTGTCTTACGTTTGATGACTCGCAGGCCGCCTTGTTACGTTACAAACACGGTATTTCCTTCTCATCGTTCCACAGTGAGTCACTTCTACCTTTAGACCTGCACAAAAGTACCAAAAAACCTGATGTTGTAACTACGCAAAAATGTGTTCAGGAGACACAAGGTTTCATGTAATAGAACATGTTCTAATCAAACAGCTTTGATGGTCAGCATCAAACAGCACAACATAAGAAATTATTTTCTAAATATTTCGCTTTCGTTATAATTTGATTTTTGACTAATCAGGTATTATCTTCAAAAAGATATCATAATGTATAATAGTTAATGTTCAATGTCACCCGAACTTCTTGTGGCAGTTTCATTTAACAGGCAAGTGACTCATCTCAGACAGACGGCTGTTTTCACCATATCCTTTTGTTCTCGTTCTCAATGCTGTACACCTCTTCAAACTAGCAGTTTGAAACTAAAAGGGCAAACCCAGATTTCTACCTTATTGTTGATTTTCCCCCCCTAGCTTTGTGTCCACATCCAGCCCGTAATTTTCTTTGAATTCACTGACCAAGTTCAACTTCAGGTTTTGAGCAGATGAAGATCTTCTCTAAAAGCACCCAGCCCACACACCAGCGGCTCACCGGGCTTGACTCCGTGCACAGTAACGATGGCAGCAACAATGGCAGCTTCAGGAGGCTCTCAGGGGCTATTTCTGCTAAGCGCACGCTGTGCTGCACGCAGAGAGCAGGCTCGACTTCTGCTGCAAGCACCGAGCTTACCGCACAAGCGCTGCACAGCATCGACACGCTGCCATGTCCTTCCCCAGCCCCACAGAAGAGAAGGCACTTAAAAACAGCCTTGTTACCCTCAAGATTCAACCGACAGTCTACTAGTAAAGACTTCTGAGAAAGCAGTTGGATGACTTGTCCTGTCGAGGCTCACGCGGATCGGGGAGCACAGACTGAACACCCCACACCAAATCAGGTCCCTAAGTACCGTGTTCAGTCTGCTGGGGACACAGACATCCCAAAGAAGTATCAACTGTACTTCACTGATTCCTGACAACGCTAATCACATAATTAACATCAGTATTACTTAGAGGATAGCATAATCAAAAATAAACTACCACTGCCCTGATAGAACATTAAGAGAAAATACAAGAAAAGAAACCATGAAGCACTGTGGCCAAGCAGAAAAGGGTTGTGAATACACAGATATTTGGAACCCATTCATTGTTTTGTCATTAATCTGCTGGGACACTGCAGAAGGCACTACCCTCCCACAGAGCCGCTCACAGACTGCCAATTCTTTAATGCAGGGCTTGTTTCACTACACGTGATCACATCTTGGCTCAAGTTCCCAGGTACTACAGTGGTAAAAAATAAATATCGACAGCAAAGGTAACCTTTCAATATTGTCTGACTACGGTAACAAAGTGTCTGAGGCATCCAAGATCAAGCAGAGACAGCTTCTCATTCTCCAGTTACCTGTTTTCCAGCATGAAAACAGACAGGCAGATGTAAAAAAAGAGGCATGTTAGGACTACTACAAGATAATTTCTTTAAGTTTTTTTTCACTAATGACTCTTCTATGAACACATCAGTTTATGACTATAGTTCAGATATTTTTTTGCTGTCCAGTATTTCACCACAGTCTAATCTTGCATCAAGTAACATACGTGTTTAAGAGCAGGGCCTTGAAAAGCCAAGCTCTTTCAAGGCTTCTTTCTCTGCAAATTACACTGGAATTGAAAGATATGGGAAAATACAAAGCAAAAGTAAAATATATGGAATGAAACTACTCAACACAGCAGATTATGCAATTCCTTTGGAATGGGATTTGGCCTTCAGCTGCAAGTTAGCAAGTGGTACTTGTTTTTCCATAAGGTAATCGGTTATTAGCAATCACTGCAACAGCATACTTCCAACAAACCAATGATGTTAGCTTTGAAATCAATTTTCGCTTTGCCTCCGCATCTAAACAGCAGAAGCCCGACAGCACAATACCACTGTGGCCTCAGTGACCCTTGCTTATAAAAGGTTAGCCATCCACAAAGGCAACAGCCACTCACCTCTCTGCTGGCAATAACCAACACGCTTTCTCTTCCCCTCTTTAAGTCACTGGGAACGTACCTCATTTTTAACCGTTCACTTGTGCAGAGCTGCACTGTTTCATTCAGGACTAGAACTACAAACAGGGTGTACTGCAATTCTCCTGGCAGTTCCAGGGCCCTTCTGATGCACCCTAACCAGGAGGTTTCAGATTAAAATAAGTCCCTTAGAATGAACTTGATTGTGTTACCTGGGACAGAACAGATACGTTTCTACTCACCCTTTATCTCTTTGGTGAATTTTACCCGATGAGAATCAGTCAGAGGTCTCGGTTGTTCATCAATATTATGAATGTCAAGAACTTCACACATAAACTGAATTACAGGTTGTGCTTTGTAGAAGGCAGTGGCAGAAACTAAAATGAGCAAAATATTAAGTGTAAAAGAACTCAAGTCAGACTGTTGTGAAGCAGTATATAAATGAATGCTTTTTAAAATTCCATATAACCCTCAAGCAAATATGGTGCAGCACATATTTTTAAAAACAATTAGCAAGCCTTGCAACAACTAAATATATGAAAGCCAGCGTAGGGCTCACAGTGACACATCAGTCTCCAGCACAGTCATCCTGCAACTACTTTGCACTTCAGGTTTTAGAAAGGGTTTTTCCCCAGATAACATTTATTTCTAGAGAGCTGTAACATCCCCAAGGGACATTCTCTTTTGACTCTGTACAGAGCTGCAAGCAGAGATAGTATTAATATATCTCTGCTGAAGATTTTTTAACATGAAGAACAGGGATTATTCAATATGCAATATAATTTTGTCAATGATATCACCTGCTCAATTACTGAAACAATATTTAGTAGAAACGTGAGCACTATTTTGACTGTGCACAAATGATGTTAGTGTAGTGGTGTGTGCAACCCTTAATCTACCAAAATTTCTTATCCCCCCTGCATACTAATGACACAGTCACAGCAAGTGACAACATACTGTTCTTAAACAGGACAGTTGACCCATTCCATGGAAGGAAGACCATAAACAATCTGCCTGACAAGGTTATAAGCAGTTGAAACAATACCTTTTAGTAAGAAAGGTGAGGTGGCACTAGGCAATAGCTCAAACACAAAGCAAACCACTCTGGACATTTAAAACTTCAAATGGCAACAACAGAAAAAAAAAAATACTTGACACGCATTTCCTGAGTTTCCCAGATCTCCTGTCCCAAACCCACCCCATCCCTGTGCTAATACAGCCAAACATTCTTCGGACGTGCGTCACTCGAGCAGGCTGCCAACCTCACGTGAGGCACTCCGGCCAACACCCCGGCTGCCGAGCACTGGACGAAGACGAGCAGCTCACACCCCCAGCCACCGGCCGCGCGCGCCCGCGCCCCACCGCGAGGAAGATTTTGCAGAGAACCTCGTACACGTTAGACAACCAGAACAAACCCAAGTGACGGGGTTTGAGCGTAATCTTCACAGCCTCCAAACACAACGTAAAGAGGTTGCCCTGCAAATGGCAGCTTACAAAGTTGTTACATTTCTCATTCACAGGAAGGACTGAAAAGATTTCTACTGCAAGAGTTACTACGATGCCTTCCAATGCTGGCAAGAAAAACTTGCTTCACAAAGTAATAGTGCAGCACATCATAAATTGGTGTAAATTAACACTCGTCCTGCCTGAACTGTCGCTATCTCAGTACCTAGCATGTAGACAGTAGTACTGGTTAGTTCTCAGATTGGTAAGATTTTTACACTCATTTTTCAAAAAATAGCTACACCATGGCTGCTGTTTAAAAGGTAAGTTTACAAGAACAAACCCATCTGAAATCACATCAGTATCATCCACAATTTAGGTAAACCAGAACACACGGACTTGCAGATTTTTATGGTGAAAGCTCAATCTCATCTGCAACATTTTATTATGCTCCAAGGCAGACGCTAAGCACAAGCTAACGGAGAGTGCTCAACCTACTGCAGAAAAGACAGACTATTTACCTCGGCTTTATGAAGCGTTTCAAATAGTGAGAACAGAATGTGAATTAGAGAAAACTTTAGGCAGCACCTGCCTCTCAAACACTGACATTTTTCAATAGGGGTTTAACAACTAAATAGAGTCAGAGTACTTCCAGCACCAAGGAGTCTGACACACACACCCGTTGATCTCAGATGCATTCATCTGGGACTCAAGAAAGTGGTGCAAAGCAGATCTGATTTTGCATAAGAAAGCCCATCTCAATTAGCCCTATTCACAAAAGTGTTTGTGATTTATTTTACAGAGTTTTCTTGGAAGTATTGAACAACACCTACTGTGGATAGCTGGAGACACATCTTAAGCAATTTGCCTGTATCACTGTGGATGTACCAAAGCAGAAAATTAAAGAGGAAAATAAGCTATACAAGGCTTTTCCTTCCTATATAGATTTTTTTTTTTTTTAAATATGGCAGGTAAATTTCTGCTGAAACACTGACAAATCCAGAAAAAAAGACCTGGGTTTCTAGGTACCCTCTGTCATATAGGTCTAGTCTGAACTGGCTGAACAGAAAGCCAATGTATGCATACCTACACTTCAATAACTTCATTATTACAATCTCACTGAACTATTATCATTACGACTTCTATAGTAGGCTGACTTCACCGTTATTGTTGTGTTTCATAAGGATATTATAAGAGACAAATACTAAATCTTCAAACTGAACAATGAGACAAGTATTTTTCAGGTGAAAACCCTTTGTCTATAAAGTAATTAAAGTCTGAAAGTTTTTTTTATTCTGATACAAATTCTAGGCAAAATAGCCCAAGCTACTTTAACTCTATTATTTACAATATGAATTAAGAAATTGGTGTAGAAGATGGCTTCTGGTTACTAAATCCCTCTGCACAGACGGCACCAAAAGTTATCACCACACAGAAGCGTGGCACCACACACTCAAGCAGAGTGAATGAATGACAAGGTCATCATCCCAACTTACCATCAATATTGAGCATCATCTTCCACATGGCAGGCCGAACAGACTGATGGAATCCAAACCAGACCTCCCTGCCCCCACCCAAGGGGTGATCATAGCCTTCTGGAGCTGAGAAAAAGGAGCGGCCCACAGGGGTATACCTAGTAGAAAAAAATGACCAAGTTTATGCTATCGCTTTCCAAATTAAAAAATTCTATAATCAAGATAATAATACATAGCATTATTTTTTTTGGAATTCTGGGCACCAGGAATCTGTGCCTAGAACCAAGTTTAAACAATACGCTCTGAATGCTTTCGTTCCCGTTACAGTATTTTTAAATTTAGACAAAATATTTACTAGTTTTAGCAATACACAAACACTTTCAGTTTTTACAAAAAATCAAGAACCAAGTTAACTTAGCCTTTTTCATCTTCCACTCAAGTAAGTATAATCATAGCAGATTCTGTACAACAGCATTATATATACTGGATGGACCCTCAAATATAATTTTGCATGTTTTACTAAGGAACATTTGAAGACAACATACACTGAGAGAATCACAGACTGGTTTCAGTTAAAAGGGACCTTAAAAATCACCCAGTGCCCCAACCCTGCCCCGAGCAGGGCCCCCTTCCCCCAGCCCAGGGGGCTCCCAGCCCCGTCCAACCTGGCCTTGAACCCTTCCAGGGAGGGGGCAGCCACAGCTGCTCTGGGCACCCTGGGCCAGCGCCTCACCCCCCCCACAGGGAACAATTTCCACCTTAGATCTCACCTAAATCTCCCCTCTGCCAGTTTAAACCATCACCCCTTGTCCCATCCCCACACCCCCTGACCCAGAGTCCCCCCCCACCTCCCCTGTCCCCCCTTTAAGCCCTGGGAGGCCGCTCGAAGGGCTCCCCCGAGCCTTCTCTTCTCCAGGCTGAACCCCCCCAACTCTCTCAGCCCGGCCCCCCAGGGGAGCTGCTCCAGCCCCCCCAGCATCTCCGTGGCCTCCTCTGGCCCCGCTCGAGCAGCTCCGGGTCCTTCTGCTGTTGGGGGCCCCCGAGCTGGCCCCAGCACTGCAGGGGGGTCTCACAAGACCAAATGTTACTAACATCACAAAGCTGTACTATTTCCTTTAGAATATTTTTTCAGAAGTATATTATCACCTCCTCATTTTCTATGTGCCCTAGTGCAGGGCATAGAAGTAATAACTATGGTGAAAACAAAAAACTAGAGAAAGTAAAATTTCTCTCTCAAGTAGAAAACAGCTGCTCATGAACCTCCTCACATTTGTAATGGACATACATTAGGACAGAGGTTAACATCTTTTATGTTTGCTTAGGACCCAGGGTAGCTGTGGAACACTGACTTCCATAAAACTACAAGTCACTACACCCAATGAAGAACACCAGTCTCTAAAGCCAGCAAACAAACTTTCAAAGTAACTTTCACTCACCAAATAAAGCAAAATTAATTTGGCCTTCTCTAATGTTTCAGGGTTCTGAGATAAAGAATTAACAGACTTTGTTAGGACAGGTATCTATCTAGTCTCAACTGCGTATTTAAAACATGAGAAGCACACACCATTGATGGATGTAACAGTGAATTAAAAGGACTTGTGCCTTTAGACAGTCACTGCCATCATGTGAATGATACTCAGCTCAACTTCAGCAGAAAATGTGAAAGCAGTGTTACAGCACACTGTATTCTCTCAGTATTTCAATTAAGGACTATTCTAAGTGTCTCCTTTTTCTTGATCTTTTCAAACAAATACATCACCTGCTCTGGAGTTTAAATGCCTACAGAAATACATACTTCTACATAATTAGCTTCAATCTCCCCAGTTCAGCTAACCAGCTGTGCTGCATAAGGGGAATGATCATTTTTTCTTTTCACCTGTGAAGAAACAGGGATGAAGGTCTCCCAGTGGGGATACTTCAGGTAAAGACAGACTGCAGGAAGACAGTGAACCTACTTCATGGAGGGTAGGTGTCGTAGCACCACATCGACAGCATGAACAGGGTTAGTGCTGATAGGTTTGTCTAGTTCCAGAGGCTCAGGCAAGGTTCTTCCTGTCAAAACTTCATGCAGCAAGTGCCAGCTCACCCGAGAAACAAACTTTATTGACACTTTGAAGGGACGATCTTTTCCACCTTCTCCTGGTAATGTCACATCCAAATCCACCTGGGTGGGGGAATACAAAAAAAAAAAAAAAAAAAAAAAAAAGCAGCTGTTTAATCTCAAGTGTGGTAGCTTTGAGCTTCCACTCCTTCCCATAACTGGGCCAGAGACTCAAAACCTCAGATATTTAGGACACGGCACTTTTGATAAAAGTACATTATCAAATGCACAAAATAGAGAACTGGGTCCTCACCAAGCAGATGAGGATCGCATAACATTGTCATCTTGAATCAGAAAACTCCTCATTCCAGAGAAAACTGTGGTTGGATTTTTTTAATAGTACTTCACCGTAAGGTAATGTATTACAGTCTGTAAAACTAAGTATTTCATAGATTTTCCTGTAGAAAGAGGCTACTAAATTCCAGAGGAGGTTCTGAATGCAACTATTACATGCAGATTTACATACATTGGAATTTGCAGAAAATACATTAGGACTCCATTGCAGTGCAGATACTGTAAGAATCTTCCAGTTTTTCTGAACTTAGCAATATTAGAAATTGAGTTCATTTCTTTTTCTTTCCTACAAAGCTGTTACAAGTATCATTTTTTCCCCATTATCTTACCCCAGTAGTGGCCACAGGAAGCGGATTGGCTGTATAGAGGCTTCTTTTCCCATCATAAACCGGTCTACGGTCCCCAAATATTGTCACTTTAAAATGCTGCACCATTGAGTCCACCACCTCCCTAGAAAAGTTGATATTTACATTGAAGATGTTTTCAAAAGTAGTATCAGACTGGGACTGGCTCCCACACACCCTGTGTTTTGCTGAAGTAGTTTCAACAAACATATTACTCAAATTATCGAACACCCACTGGTATTCTGAAAAGGTGCTGCACATAATTAAACCAAAATAATAGATAAACACTAAAGAATAAAATCATAATCAATGCAAATGCTCAAATACTGGAAAATATTGTTACTGAAATAATTTCAGAAAGTCCCAGAAATGACTGAGGCCTTTGTAGAACCTTTATTATAAACCCCAAGGATATACTTACCTTGGAAGAAGCCCCCACACTAACAGTATGACAAACTAGTGCAAACTCACAACTGGAAGCTCAGCCAGCTCACGAAGCACTAGTTAATTGTACTGTCTACCCAGTAACGTTCATCTGCTCTTCAATTAACAGGAGTTTTGAATTTTGCCTACATTGTACATAAAAATGAGGTTCCCTAACAAAAACATCTTACCTTTAAGTCCTTAATCATCTGAGTTTTTACAACAAAATCAAGTAAAAGCCTGATCAAATTTGCACACAATTATAGATTCTCCTAACTTTCTTTATTAGTTGATGAGGGCAATAAAGAAAATGGTAACCTGATATAAGCACTGAAATTTCACTTGAAAAAACACCGCAAAACTTTAATCTTATATAAAAAAAGGCTTGTTGATATAAGTAGTAGATGTATCAGGTTCAAAGAGACTTTCGCAATACCTCTAGCTGAAACATGCTTTCAGGATTTGAGTTCTTTGGGGATTCTTGGTGTTTCAGTGGCACAACATTGTGTCTTACTTGATACAACGTAACTCTACAGGAATTAAACACTTAAACATATGCAAAGCAGAAGCTTACTAGTGCACTCTTGCCTGACCAGGCAATGTTAGCCTGAAGTACTTCAGAAGATGATAAATACTGCATTTCTCTCCAAAAATTAGTAGCAGTACTTTCACCTCTCAGCTGGGACTTAGGGAAAGGGAAGAGAAATTCTCCATGTCACAGTTCTTTTCATTACTGAAATCTCAGAATCCAAATGATTTCATCGGCTAAAAGCACAGCAATACGCCGAAGCAATTTCAAAATATCTACTGTGCTCCTGCACAAGCCCATCCTACCCGAACACCCCACTCTGCACTGGCACGCTGCTCCCTGGTCACACTTCAGACAGGGCTACGCGGGCGAGAAACTATTTCCGTAAGTGCCAGCTTATCGCCACATCACCTGTGACAAGAGCAGAGGGATAAATCTAGCGGTGAAGGGTGGGAGCAGGAGGGAGAAAGCAAGAGGCTCTGAAACCCAAAAGCCCTGCTCCTCTCCCCGCTCCCAAGCAAAGCGACCTTCACCTCGGGCTCCCCAGCCTGCCACAGCGGCCAGCGGGGAGAGAACAGGGCCACAAAGGAAGGCGGGAAGGGGACAGAGGACACTCTACATTCTAAAGCCTCTCTACAGCCAAAAGCTAACAAAAGTGCAGGTGAATTTAAAAAACCCAGCAACCATTCAGGAGCTAACCCCCCTATTTATTCCAAACGCAAGCATGCAGACAGGGTGATAGTCAGGAACTATTTCAGAATAGCTGAGCCTGAGTAAACCCACTGACTTCTCAGAGATAAGGGTCACAGCATGCGAGAGAAGGGGAAAAATAATTTCTGAGGAAAATTCTTCAAAGCAGGTATTTCAGCGTACTAATTTCAATTTAGACTAATGAAAGACGTTCTTCTCTGCGTAATCCACAGCACACTATCCAAAGTAATTTATTCAGCAGATACTATATTCTTATTGGGCTCATTTATACAAGCTCTTGCAGTGTGTTTAACTAATATCTGCCACATTTTTACACACATGAAAGTTGGTGAAATAGTATTTTTAAATAACCAATTTCACGATTCCCTACTTAGAAAAATCCAACACACATGCAGGATTTTCCCCTCAGCTTTCAGATTTTAAACCACAGTTTATCTTAGGATTCTTAATTCACATACTGTATTTACTGTCAAAATTGAAAACAAATTTAGTCTTTCATTTGAAAATATCTGACTATTAAAGCAACTTGTTAGGTTTGCTGTCTCTGTTCAATTAGTCTTCTCAGCTTACCTTGACAAAACGCAGACAACTGCTTCTACCAGTTGGTAACACAAATAAGGAAGAGCAAGACAGTGTCTTTACTGGTAGAATGGGAAGTTGATGAGCTTCTGGACAGTTACACGTGCATCTGAACTACACTTTTACTACAGCAGCTAAATTTATGAATGAGAAACCTCAAAAAGCACTTCTGGGAAACAACCAACCTGCTCACAAACTATCAGAAGTCAAAAGCAATGGTTAGATACTCACGCTGAGACTTTAAAAAGGTATGAAAAGTTGTCTCAGCCGTAAACGTGCTCTTCAGGAAACCACTATTATTTAGGTAAGCAAAAATACTGATCATTTCACACTGAGTTACTTTGCAAACTCAAACCAAATGCTTTTGTCTCTCTCCACATGAACCGAAAGCTTCAGAAGACACATCACCAACTAAAGCTGTGACAAACATCAATTTTGGTTTTGGAAGCGAGCTTGAAATTATCCTGCAAGCAGGACCACAATGAGATTTTTATTTTTCTTTTAAATTTTAAATAAAATTTAGTTGGTATTTTAAAACAACTGATTTCAAATGCACTATTTTCAAACATCTGTAGTTTCTCCCACTACTAGGGTAACAACTAACTACCCAGAAGCACAGACTGCAATTGCTGAAGCAACCAGAGTTCTTACAGCTTTGTCTCCCTCAGTCTATTTTAATCAAGCATTGCCATACAAGAGACAAAAAAGATGGGTTTAGTCAACAGATTTTAAGTAAAAGGACATTTATCTTCATTACAAGATCACACTAGAAAAGAATCAGACATACAAAGCAGTAAGTCAGTTTAGAGCAGTTTATATTCTCCTTCTACCCCTATGAGCATGGCTTCACAAGCATTCTTTAACAATATGGCAGTAAATTAACCTTTCATAACAGTAAGATTATATTAAATATTAATTCACATAGAACTATTATATCCCAATGTTAGCAATTTCTCAGTTTCCTTTTAATTAATACTCAGCATCGGTATTTATGTAGTTTTCATAACTGCAGTATGCAACTAGCAGGGGAAAAAAAAAAAATCACCAGCCAGAATCCGGTCCTAGCAATATGTTATTGTTAAAATGTAAAGAAAGAGTTGCAGATGAAGAGGAAAAAACTGCTTTTCAGCTACCCTGAATTTTAACTGATGAAACAGATTTCACAAGAGACTAACAAGTAACTCCTCCTAAAAAAATTATTCAATGCAGAGACGAAATACAGGAAATGTGATATGTTGTAATCTTTCAAAAAGCAAAAATTATTACAGCTCTACTGTCAGGTTTTCAATTAACTACTTGTTATGAGGAGGCTTCTCTGGCTCCCCAATTTTATGATGTTTAGGACAAAATACCCAAAGCCCATATATAAAAAGCTGTACTAGCAATGTTAGGGCTAAAGGATCCCGCACTCAATACATACAGTTTGTCGGATCACTAAACGAACTGGGACACAGAATATGAAAATATTCTCTGCATTTAACCAGCAATCTAGAAATAAAGTAGCCTAGCAAGGGATTTAACTGACCCTAATACACAGCAGACATGAAAATAAGATGAGATACAATGTGCTATACAAATGCTATAACAACAGAGAAAGGACACAGGTGGAGCTCAAACCAAGTCTGCTCATTTCAGATATACTAAGCTGATTGCATGGAATCTCTATTAACAAGGGGAAAATGAGTTTGCAGTGCTTTCATACCACTACTCCCACTGGAAGCTTTCCAGCTGAAGGCTGTCTCCTCCCATACCTACGGCAATGGTTCTTAGCCACTAGCTTCTGACCACAGTCCCCAGGTGAATTAAACTGGGGAACCCTTCAGATTAACCAGTGCTGCAACGTATCTCAATATCAACTGAGGATAAAAACACCCATAGGAGCAGATTCCTACTAACTCGAATGATTCAACAGCCAGTATTGCAACCAGAACAGGTAACTGCCTACAGCTGCACCACATTTATGCTGCCCTGAAGAATGGGGGGCTGCTGACAAGGAAGCTCACAAAGTACTGTGACCAGAAATGGCTGGCCCACTTCCCAGCATCTGGTCACAACCAAACCGAAGAGAACCTGGAAAAGTTTCTGTACTCATCTCACAGATGTTTGTGAGAACTTGCACACAGGTCCCCACAGCATAACCCTCAGATTTCAAGCTACACAGAGACTACATTTCCTTCAGTAGGTCCCTCTGGTGTTCAAAAATCTCAGTATCATTTACAAGACAAATTTCACCTTCTTACCTGTTCACCCTCCGAGGACACTTATCTGGTTTGATATCCACCTCATAGAGGTAGACATCAATCTTTGGGATTTCAACTTGGAAGCAGTTGGCCAGCAGTTTAATGGGTTTGCCCATGGTGCCATAGCCAGGACGTCTGGGCACCATGAGTAGGGGCTGTGCCCCGACGGGTCCTGTGAAAGAAAAGAATATCACAGATTAGAAGGTAAGCACTACACACAAACTGTGTTTGTTGCAAAGGTACTACTCGCTTACATTTCATCAATTTAAAAATACATATGGCTCCTTGCATTTGCAGGTACACATACTTGTCTCCCATTGAGACCAACTAAGGTACTTCCCCTTTTTCAGTTGTAGGCAATTCCCTGAACCAGCCAGCACACTGGGAGAAGGGAAAATTAGCTGTATCAAACAGCACACATCAAACAGTGTGCTAACCTATTAGAATTCCAAATGAACACTTGCCCGTTTTTCCTCCATGAGCCTCCACCCACATCTACACTGCTTTCTTACTGCTGAGTTTCAGGTTCTGTGATTAGCATGAATAAAACCAGGAGATTTCCTCAACAACAACAACAAAAAAAAAAGTGTGCTTTTCCCTGTAACACTTTATTATTGTGGAAAGCTTATCTGCCATTAAAACACAAAAAGTTTTCCAAGTCTTTTCTGAATGCCCTAGTAATAACAAAGTTGCTGCAGAACACGAAAATATGGAAGCAGTTCTGGACCCATGCATGTTGTTTGCGATAAACCCTTCCTTTCATTGCCATTATTAACTTAGTCTTGGAAGAGAGATAATTCTTGAACTTCACTGGCTGAAAATGGATGAAGAGGAAAACCATTATGTCCTGTCTGACTGCACCGCTAAAGCTGATTGACCGGAAGAGGAAAGACTCACATTAAGACACAGGATTGTAAAAGGCTTGATTACTTATACATTAGAGAAGAATACACATAGCTGTTCAGAGAAAAGAGATGGGTATTCTGAAAGTCAGTTAAAGACACCTGTGTAGTACCATGTTACATGCTCATCTGGTTATCTATTTAATTTACTTTGCATCATTTAGATGAAAATCCTCAGCTCAAGATTTGGGTTATTCATGCCTTACAAAACCAAACAGAGTAGTAAACATAGTCCACTTTCAAGAATTTCTACTGGTATTTCCACTTAAAAATATCTCTTTCCAGTCAAGAAATAACAACAAAACCAACATGCTTTGCAGCCCGAGTTTTAAAAAAATTACTCATCGAACAAATGTCATGGTTTACAGAGCATTCGATTAAGTTAGTTAAAAGTTCTCCCCTCTACTCCTACTCAGTGACGCAGATAGCAATTCCAACCCCCTCATTTTCATAGAAGAGTTAAAATGTCAAGTGCTGGTAAAAATGTCTTATTTGCCTTTTGATTAATCTCCACCATTCCTGGAAAAAAATCTCATTACCTTGAAAGAAACAATGTACTGAGAACATTTGAGGTGAACATCAAAGCTAAGTTCCACTGTAACATTTGTCTGGCTCTAACCAGAAACATACCCAAAAATTCTGAGCGGGCTTGGCTTTGAGCCGTAAAATAAAACAAAAACATAAAACAAGAAGCATCATTTATAACACCCTCACAGATTATGCTTATGCAAAACTTGTTCCAAGCATCTGTTCTCTTCAACTTTTTCTTCATTTTAATATTGTCACACGAGTAAAAGCAGCTCTACAATTTACTCCAGATATATTTTCTGAATATAAGCATATGCAAAAAGTTACTACTAAACATTTGAGTGACATAACTGACTCAATAGCTTATTTTAATATTATGAAGACATACATGCCATAGTTTATATTTAGTTGGTATCTGTAGGAAATGCTAACAAAACTGCTGAAGTAAGATAACATTAAAAATGTTGCCATAGCCTGGTCAGCCCTGTCTCCCCCCCCTCATCCCCCTCCACCCCATTTGTTAAAATCATGTAAAACGTAGAAACAGTTGCCAAAATCTGTAAGCACAGAAGAAACAGTTGGTGTGAAGACAATCTTCAGGAAGGTTGGGTGAAGAAGTTGAAGCATGTGGAACAGGGAAATCCATTATGGCCAAAATCTTTGTCACCATCTCCTCTGGAAGTTGCACTAAGTTGAACTTTTCAACCGAGCACTCGGCTGCTGGAGAGGAGATAAACCCCTTTACGGGAATGCTGTCCCGTTGTTCACCCCTTGGCTTAGTTTAACAGAGTCCCAGTGATCGACTGCACAGGGACAAAAACCTGAAACGGAGAAAAGCTATTCAGTTACTAACATGAGCCAGGGTGCACTTCACAATCCTGGGTCATAACAGAAAATGTTCTACCCAAAGCCAAGTATTCAAGCAGGCCTCCAACCCCTGCTCCTTGGAAAACAGTAGTGAACAAAACAAGAAAATACCAGTTGTAAGACAAAGGCTTTCTTTAGCCTCACTTGTTCAGCCGTACCACACACAGCTCCTTGGGAAACAGCTCACCCTGGCAGAAGTTAGAATCCAGATTTTGGCAAACAGGAATTAAGTGACCAATAAATGAATAGGAAGTGCAGGCCTATACGATATTCAGGAGTAATTTTTAAAAATCCAGCTGATTTTCCTATCATTTTGTGCAATACACATGCTCCCTTGGACAAATTAACTTAAAAACATGAATATGTTGTAATTCAATTCTGCTATCACTGTCCAAACACACTAGCACCCACTCACAATATCCTGCTTTCAAAATACACTAAATTGCCAGATTGCACGTTGTGAAAGCCTGTGTCACTGGCTTCAAACCTGTGACTCAAAACCCAATAAAACATAAATAACAAACGACGCTCTCTGAGGACAGCTACTGCTCCCGTATCGTATCAGTGACTCACTCAACTTCATGCCTAAGTCCTGTGTCAAGTTAATGGAAATAAACACATGAACCAAAAATACTAAAAGTAGTATTATTCTGAATAGCACGGAACGGCTCTGACTGGCAGACCAATTCCTTCGTGTTATTTAACTATTGCAAAAACAAAGTCGTTAAAGTTTCAAAAATCTTTGCAGGCAGGACGGCCTGACCCGGCAGCAGGAACGTTCAGTCCCTCGGCGCCTCCAGAAGAGCCGCAGCTCCGCACGGCTCAGCTGCCCACACGTTTCGGAGGAGAAACTTCTTTGTGTTTAAGAAACTATTAGTGCTCTGCCATTAAAGCCTCAGATATGAACTAATATGCTCTTAAAAACCCAAGAAAAAACATAACCCGAGTCTGTTTATCATGCCAGAATAGTACTCAATTCATAAAACCAGTTAAGGAAAGCCCCCAATGTTGACAGTCAACTGATTTATAACCTAGAACAATGAATACACAAATAGGAACTAAAACTGACGCTTCAGACAGATCCTTGGAAGGCTTTCATACAGCAAGGGAGTACGCTTCAAGATACATCTACCATTAAATAACTTCAACCTTCTTCTCAATGTACAGTTACTCGTTAGAAAACATACAGGAAAAACCTGCAGAGAAAATATTAACTAAGCATTTAAACCAGTAATAACTCAAGGCAGAAAAAAGTCACCTCTTCAGGACCTGAAGGTATATCAATTCCTAAGTTACAGTTCGTAGCGCTTGCTGAAGTCATTATTCACCAACATCCTTCAGCAACGCTGGAAGACGTTTCCCTCACAAGTGAGCGCTCAATAAACAAGGAGGAGCAAAAGCCCTGACAATAAATCCGCAGAACGGATGAACGCGAAACCGGGAAAGTTCCGTCTACTCTATTCACCGCGAGCCCCCGGGGGCTGCACCCCGCTCCCCCCCCCCCCAGCCACCTCCAACCCCCCTGGCATTTCGCAGGGGGTTTACAGCGGCGTTTCCCACGGGAGCTCACGGCGCCAGCCCAGCGCGCCCGGGAACGTCAGCTGGAACCCGTGCCCGCCGCGCGGGGCTGGGCCACGGGGCTCGCCGGGGAGAGGGGAGGTACGGGAGAGCCTTGCTCGTATTTAGTATCTAATAGTTCAACAAAACTCAAAAAGGGATAAAAAAAAAAAAAAAAAAAAGGAATCGCCACCTTCAGAGGGCCTAATGAGGAAACTAATATTTCAGAACGTTCAAAAAAAAATTTGCTAAAAGGGAAGAAGTGTAATGTTTATAAAATACGTTCTGAAGAAAAAGCTCAATCCCATACTACATCTTCAAAGAGCTAAAGTTCTGCAGTAACATTACGACTACATGGCCAATGACATTGATTTCAAATGAGATTATGCAGCACCTCTGCCAACAGAACCATCTGACAGTTCTATGATTTACATGATTTTACGATTTACTCCAACAGAACTAGAAAACAGTGGGAATTTGCAGTTGTCAGTATTCAGATCCACAACCTGAAAATTCCCATTAAAGTCAGACCATATTCCAGACCAGTATGGAAATCCCTCCAATGGTTTAAAAGAGCTCTGAATCAGAATCTGTTCTTCCATGGAATTACAGATGTTATAATAAAAATTAAACACGACAAATCGACTGTAATTTCTATGGCAATACAGCCAGCAGTATAGAACACATCTGGCGTGCATCCAAAACACAGGCTTGGATCTACCTAGCAACCAAACGAAGCCCCGACCAGAATAAAGCCTGAGCAGAAAGAGCAGAGGCACGGAAACCTGCAAATACTTTCAACAAACCATTTTACAGAAAATTGAAGCTTTTGGCAGGCAAGACAGTTTTACAGCATGAAGCAAACACTGATTTCTAGCAAGATGCTAATAGAAAATACAGATTTCCTTACACGATTCTTTCCTTAGAGAAAGAGACATCTGTATCAAGCTTCCAGCAAAAAATTATCCTCTTTCCTACTGTGCCTTCAGTATTATAAAACCAAAAAAGATTAACAGATGATTACTTAATAGTTTTATTTTTGTTTATAAAACAGTTCTAAATCTCTAATTGCGTGGGTGACTGAACAGCCTCAAACACATGATAGAGGACTTTACCAGTAAAATATTATTTAAACTCTGGCTCAGTAACACAAGGCAGATTTGTCTAACAGATCCTATCCTCAGGCTGAGCTCCTGAAAGCTCTCCACGGAGCGGGAAGAGGATAGAAAGGGGGAAAAAAAAAAAAAAGAAAGATTTCCTTTCAGAGGGCCCCTGGCCTCTGCCTGGACTCAGAGGCCCAGCCTGTGGAGCTCAAAGAAAATCTTACCACTACCAAAAATTAAGTTAATTCTAGATTAAAAAAAAAAAAAAAAAAAACAGATAGGGTAGATTATATTTAAATGTTCCTTTCAGTAACTGAGCTCCTTACTTATGCCAGAAATCATGAATTGCCTTATTTCTATAGCTGCAGCCTCGCTGGGTGGCATTACATTATTTATGAGTAATGCAATCCACGTTTCCTAAACATTCCTACTTGCAATTTAGGCTTTTTTTAAAAAAAGGTTTCAGATAATAAGTCATGTTTAAACTCATCAAAAGTCACCATTTTGATGCCATGCTCAGTGATAGTCAACTAGCACAAGTAAATACTAGTGTGCTAACTTGTATTATCCTAATATCCTAATGAAGTTTCAGAAAATACAGTGAAGTGTTTTGGAAGCATTTACAAGATAATAAATGCTTCTGAACCATTAAAAGATCTAATCATAAAGAAGTTTAAGCTCAAAAAAGCAGCTTATATGCACATTGTAAAGTGAATACCTAACTACTCTAAGAGAAGAGAACATGACAACCCACACAAATCCAGCAATACTTTTCCCTTGAAGGTATTTTCACAGACCAAAATCAGGAAGGTAAACTGACACAATCTTTATTGCTACATGTAGATATACCACGCTTTGCCACCAAAAGAAATCTTTATCAACATGCATTTGAATTTACGCTAAAAAACCCCAAACCACTTTATAAGAAACTATGCAATTCTGAATGCACTCATCTTTGTTTTCCTGGTTTCTTATTTACTATTTTGAAAACTGTGTAGCTCCTTCCCCATACCCACTAGAGTGAAACGTGCTGCCCATCCACCTGCTATCGAGGTTTCAAATTTAAGATGCAAGCAGTTCCCCTTTTTCCAGTTTACAGCTTGAAAAACATCTAAATTATGCTCTTAAAGAGAAACTTCTTCAAAGATAATGCTAAAATTTACTTTACATCCTAACAAGTTTTGCATGTGAACAAAATTAAAAGCAGCAATAAATCCATGACAAATGTCATCGTTTTCAGAAAAATGCATCAAAGCACAAAGAAAGGGGAGACTGTGACATTAAAAACAAAACCGACTTGTATCCAACTATAAACTTTTCCTTAATTAGGAGGCAAAAGCTTTGCATGACAGTTCAGCTGTACAGCCTAGTCTACTGAGAGAGAGAAAAATCCGCTTCAGCTATCAGGGTATCTCTGATCGCTTGGCAAGCCACCCTGCCTGCTGCTTCTCGCTCCAAACTCAGTACAGGCCGTCGGACCAGCAGCTGGAGCTTCCCACCACCCAGGAACACTGCAAAAACCGCCGACCCCAGGCTGACTGGCAGCTCCGCGCCGCCGGATCGGCTGGAGCCAGATACAGCGGGGCACTGCCGTTCGATTAGGGTGTTGCTAAACACATACCAGATGTGTCAGAGGGCACAGAAGCCATGTAGTCCAGTCATTTCTTTAAATTTCTACTGGAAATTAGCTCAGAAAATATCCCGACACCTTCACCACTAAGGAATTACTGCTACGAGGATGAAACGATTCCTAAAGTTCATACTGTGAGTCCACTGCAACTCCGGAGGAAAACTTCCGTTGTATCTCACATCACACATGTTCTGGAGTAGAGCAACTTTTGAAAGCACTTATGATTCATTCCACTTCCCTCTTCTACCCCACCCACAAAAACCTAAATGTAATGGTCCTCCCGAATCACTACTCTTAACGCAGAAAGAGAAAAGCAAATTCTCAGTATTTTATCTGCCCAAGGTTTGTACAGAAAAGCAAACAGAAGACTAAAAAACATACAACTGAGTAAAAAAAAAAAAAAACAAAAACCCAACAACACAACAATTTGTCACTTTTCACACAAAAAGCTGTGAACTTTGGAGGAATAACTTATGAACTGTGTACACAGCACTGCTTTGACTCAGTTACACCAGAGAGCATCCTCAGCTCCATGGCAGCACTGCTTTAACACACCTGCCTTTTGGAAGTTCTCTTAACACTCTCCTGGTGGAAGTGTGACGCATGACACTGAGTTTGATCTGCTACCGAGAGCTGCTTTTACTTCACTTCATGTTTTCACAGGGAGCATTTTACTGCTATTCCTCACTTTGCTTGATTTCACCATAACCTGCACCCTGAAGAGCCAGCTTCACATCCTTCTGCTATTTTAAACTCTGTTCCAATTATGCAGACCAAGAGAGGCGTACTTTCTAGAATTCGTAGGCACAAATAGGAAGACACCTCCAGCACTGCTTCACCTAAAACGTCCTGGCACCCGCTTCCACATTTTACTCCAGGAATACTCACAACCCTACCTTTGCCTCCCTGCTCTGCTTATTCTCTCCCATGTGTTCCCTTCACACACAGGAAAGGAAGCATGTCTCAACGTCCTTCTCCCTTTTACGACAGAACTTTAACCCTTATTTGCTCTGCCAAGGATGGTCTGTGTCCTCCCGTACCCACACTGATGTCTGATGGCCCAAAGGCTCCCTGGAACACAGAATATTAACGCTGCACTTAGCGCTTCCCTGGTGGCCCAGCAGCCGTGGACAGGAGCCCCGCTCGTGCTGAACGCAGCGCTTCGCGGGCCGAGCGCGTCGGGAGCGCGGTCTAATCTCAGGCTTTGCCAAAATCCACCACACCGTACCCTAACTGCAGGGAGACCCGCACCAAAGCGAACCCAAAGGGTTTACAGGCTACTCCTCCAAATCTTTCTTACCCTGAGACAACTAGAACTGTACCAGGCTATAACTGAAGTTCATTTGATTTATGAGCATACCATCCCAACTCCACCAGACTGCTAAAATCCAGCATCTTCCTCCAACAGTTTCAACTCCCCCATATACCTCACTAGCAGGGACACTAGCTCCGGTGGTGAGTTTTTCCAGCCAAATCCATCATTAACCCGAGTCACCATGTAAGTTACAAAGGCATCTACGCGCAGCGAGACGGAGCCGCGTGGTCTGCATTGACACCTTCAGTCTCACACTCGTGTTTCCACTAGCCGTGGCACCCCCTGAAGCGCCAGAAGTGGAACTCCAAGGAGGTTTTGGTGTTCCCTTTGCCATCCAGCGACAGCACGAACTGCCGATCGAACACCGCCCAAATCCGAACTCTCCTGTCGGACCCAGAGATAAATTCTTTCCATAAACCGAAGCAGAAGCTCCTCCTCCAACTCTCAAAACACCTTTAGAACAGAAAGCTTATCAATACCGAGCACGTGCTTCCCACATAAAAGGATCAAACGACGAAGGCAAACGCGAGGGTCTCGGGGTGGCCGCTCCCGCAGGCACCGGGGGTCCAACCGCCGGGCCCCGCGACCGGCCGGAGCCAGGGGTCGGCGGCAACCGGCGGCCCCGTCGGGGCGGGATCTCAAAGGCACCATCACGGATCCCAGATTATGCAAGCTGGCCTACCGCCGCTGCCTGGGAAACACTCGTTATGAAATACCAAAAAAAAAAAAAAAAAAAAATTAATTTTCTACTGTCTTGGGGACAGGAAAAGGGGCGGCATCGCGGGCCGGGGCGCCCGGCTCTCCGCGGGTCCCCGGGGCTGCACCGGCCGCGCTCTCGCGGCTCCCCCCGCCCCCCTGGGCGCGCCGCGGCGGGAACCGGGCCCCGGCGAGGGGGGGGGGGGGGCGGGAAAGGGCGGCGAAGTCCCGCTCCGGGCTCGGCGGCCCCGGTGCCGCCCGCGCTCACCTGCGCTGCCGATTTCCATTCATGGAGCTGAGCGCAGCCGCTCGGGGCCGCGGGCTCCGCCGTTGAACCGGGCCCGGCGGCCGGCTCGGGGGTGAGGCTGGGCTGCGCTGGGCGCCGCCGTCCCGCCGCGCTGCCCCGCGGCTCCCGGCCCGGCCCGGCCCCTTCGGCGGCGACCGGAGCCCCCCCCCCCCCCCGGCCCCTCCCGCGGGCGGAAGTTGCGTGGCCGCCCGCAGCCCCCGGCTCGCGCCGCCGCTCGGCGCCACCCCCCCCCCCAACCCCGCGCTGCCACAACCGCCGGAAGTCCCGCCCCCGCGCGCCCCTTTCCGGGGTTGGGGGAAGGAGGCGGAAGCGGAAGCGGGCGGCGCGGTTGCCTGGCAACGCGGCGGGAGCGGCCGGAGGCGCCGTAGGGCCGGGCCCGCCCGCGGCCTCACCGCAGCTTTCGGGGCTTCTAGACCAGCTCCACGTGAATTCCGTTTCTGGTTTTGGGGTTTGTTTTTTTTTGGGGGGGGGGAGGGCGGGGGGTGTTTATGTTTTTATTTTTTTAGCTCATCCTCGCTAAATCCACCAGAGGAAACCCCACGCCGCGGCGCGCTGCCAGGATCGCCGCCGCCCGGACACACGGACCGAAAATCCGCTGCAAAACCCCGCGGTGCTCCACCGCGTGCGGCCGCTGAGGGGGCCGGAGGGGACCGCGGGGACACGGGCAGAGGCGGAGGGACGAACCGCGGCAGCGGATAACGAGGGAGCGCGAGTGACTGCGCAGGCTGCCTCCTACGAGGCTTTAAAACCTGGGGGGGGGGGGGGGGGGGGGGGGGGGGGGGGGGCACCCCTGCAGACCCCTGCAGCCCTGCAGCCCCCTCCCCTGCTGCCAAAACACCCCACCGCTCGCTCAAACCCAGGACACCTCCGCAGGGAGGGAGAAGGGCAACCCTCTGACAAGCGTACACTCAACGGGCTAAAAATCCCGATAAGTGCCCATTATCCTGTGATATTCCCATAAGAAGCAAAGAGCTGAGATCAGGCTTTGTGTTTATTTTTCCAATTTGCGGGGGAGCTATGAGACTCTTAAGTAACTAGGGTTGATGAGAAGAATAAAGACTATCATTCACAACATCTGCATAAATTCAGAGCGTCCGTCTGCCCTTTTCTCGGTTTATTGGCAGTGTTCTTAGCAATGTTTAGTGCCACTTTGTTAGCGATTTGGTACACAGATTGTCACCAAACAGGCAAGAGGGTGGCACAAGCAAAGCAGCTGTGTGCAGGTGGGGAAGTGATTCAGATGTACCAGGCTCCGTGTTGGGTCAGGCAGCAGCACCCTGATCTCTATTTCCTCTGCCTCCAGAAGATCATTTTTTGGTAAAAATGGTGTATTTGTTCAAGCAGGTTTGGACCTGCTGCTCATGAGGAAACGACGTACCCTTTCCTGGTGAAAGGGGCACTTCATCAGATACACAGCTGGGGAGGTATCCGAGAACTGGAACTTTGGGCTGGCAGAAGAGGATTTTGAGATTGATAATCCAGATTTCAGAATCATTATTAAGAATGACCATCCTGGAGACTGCCAGCTAAACTAATCATAAAAAGTGTAAATTTAGTTACCAAGTATGTGACACAGTAAGGATTATAAAACCATGCCAATTAAAAGTAAACTACTAGAATATTTCCTTAACTGAAATCCTGAGAAGGAAGGGGAAATATGATCACCAAGATCAAGCAGATATGGCTGAGGGAGACATCTCTGCAAAATGCACAGACCTTAGGGGCACACAGGCACTTCTGGTTCTGCAGCTTAGGCCACTGTAATCAGAAACAAGGGCCAGGGCTCGAATGCCAATCTAACATTTGAAACCGAGGAGTCCGACCTGTTTTCCAGGACTTCAGACCCAGCTGCACAAGGCGCAATCAATTTTCTGTTATACCTCTGCCACAGAAACAGCCCCCTTGAAACTGCAAAAGATTTCTATCATTTAGTAGGACTCGTTTTTTTAAAAAAGTGCTATAGCCTTAAAAGCAGCAGGAGGATGTGTGCAGGATCCGTACAGACGCTCAGTTCTGAACAATACATTCTGCATGCTGCAGTTGAAGTAAATTAGCTAGCAAGTACGTGCATGCCATTAGCAAGCACTTCCTTAAAATTGCTTAGCATTATTCAAAAACCCAGTTCCAGCTCAACTGCTAAATAATTCATTGTCTAAAGGTATGTGAATACGTCTGCCAGGTAAAGCACAAGCAGATCCACAGAATTCAGAGGATGGCAAAGCACCTCCAGTTTTGGACCCTAAGACACAACCACTGGAGAGAACTAGGATGTTTGCAAGCAATTCCGACGCTGGGAAATGTAAAATGTGACACGGTACAGAAACCCAGAGGATCAAGTTTAGCCCCAATCCAAAAGGAATCTGAATTCTGTCCTGAAAGCACCTTGGAGCCAACGGCCTTTGGCAGCCCCCAAAGCAGGCAGCGTAGCTGGAGAAGCAGCACGTTGTGATGTACGCTTCTGGTCTCTAATAACCCAGGGAGCTCAGCCCAAGTCAGTTCTGACGGATGACATTTTGATAAAAAGTAGAACTGGCTACCATGTTCTAAGATGTTTTAAGCACATGTTTGTTCACTGAAGTGTTTCATTAAATCAAAATCTGGAAAGCAAAGGCTTTGGGATCCTCCACAGTATCTGATGCAACGCAGCTACAGTCAGCATTTCACCGTTCGCCCCCAAGCCCTTCTCGAGCGAGCAGGCAGGACAACGCCTGTACCTTCCCCACGCAATCTGACTCAGGAGTGTCACCCCAACATATTCACATTGCTTTTATTTAGGTCTTCTGCCAACAGTTACAGGGTAACAGACACTTGGGACTGCAAAGTCAAAGTTGCAAGCAAAAATCAGGACCAAAGCAAAAAAAAAAAAAAAATTAAAAAAAAAAATCCACAAAGGCAATCAAATCAAATATAAATACAATGTTCTGGAGCTCTTTAATCATACCGTTTCCTTTAATAAAGAGGTGGTTATGATCTTACAGTATTTTCTTTTGGCCTAATCCAAGGATTTTATTACTCTTTACCAGTCTTAATTCCACGCATACAAAAAAAAAAAATTGATATTCAACCTTTAAAATATAAGCCATATTTTCTTAATAAAATAAGTTTTGTGCTGCTGCTTGTTTAGTAAGTACTGTACATCAACTGTTCACGTCTATTTAACAAATGGACCATACAGAGTTCAAGCTAAAGCAAAAAAAAAAAAACCACAAGAAAAATAACAACCCAAAGAGTGTCTTGTAAACACCCCATGTACAGTTCAACACTTGCTCGTATAAAGGAGGTATGAAAGGGGCTAGAAATTGAACACAAAAGCACTGGAGTCCCGTAAATTTTCTTTCACAACTATTGAAGTGCAAATCACTCTAGGCAAGATATGAATTTCACTTGTTTATTGCTGTCCTGCTGTCTGGCTTCCCTTCCTGAAAGAATCACATTCTTTTATTTCACACTCAATTTTCCAAGAAGAAAACCTTCCGCGAGGCAACGTTGAACGCTTGGGCTTTTTGACACTACGACATCAAGTCGAACGCCTGCGAATCCCAGAACACCCCGACCGCCCCTGGAAGCTCTGGGGTGAGGGCTGCTCTGCCCTCGCCCCCGCTACGTTCACATAGGAGACAAGGGAAACAAACAGCATTCAACAACTGACGGGTAAATGAAAGTCATTCCTCTTCCCACAAAACTGCATGCACCTGGCGATGTTTCCAGTTGCAGAAGGAACACGTGCGCACGGAGAAGGCAGAGACTCGGGAGCCATTCGGGATGTCCGTGGGGGGTTTGTGGCTAACTACAAATCCTGATATGTATCTGGGTTAACACCTATCCGCTATGGGTAGCAAAATGCACAGCACCTCAACATGCAGTTATTCGTTTGCATCTCGGACAAGAAAAGGGTAGAAATGCTGAATGCTGGAGCCGCGTAGAAGGTACGGTGCATAGTCCATTATACAAAACATGCGGGTAACTCAAACCCCTTCTAAATTTCTTCAAAATGGAAACAGGGTTTAAAGGGCACAGCAGCTAACGAGTTTGGCTTTTTTATTTATTCAAAACCATGAAAACCCAACGCAGACGGTGAAGTAAGGGCAGAACACGATCTGCAAGTCAACAGCTGAGAGTTTCAGAAGCTGTGAAGCTTTTGTGTAGTTAAAATTGCTGTTAAAAGTAGGTGCTACATCAGCGAGTCTTCATTCATAGTTTTCTATGAACAGCCACCTTACAAATGAGTGCAAATCTTAAAGGTCCATTTTACATTTCAAGTCTCAAGGTTAAAAAAAATTGTTACAGAGCAACAAGCTGTTTCTGTAAATGCCCACACTATCTCTTTTCAAATGGTTAAAAATGGCACGTGCTATGCCACAGCTACTAAAAGACATTTCAGAATTCTAGACCCAACTAAAACACTAAAATAAAAACTAGAAACCAAAATACCTTTGCCCCTCGCTGCGGAACAGCAGCCAGGTGCTTCCCGTTGTTATGCTGGTGAACAAACTGATTTGCAGAGAGAACCTTGACCTTAACCCCAATTTTATTCTTAACGAGGGGCTTTCTAACACAAGGTGAGTGGGTACAGCCCCTCTGAGATCATCTTGCTTTCAACGAACACAAGCCCGAGTTCTGAGGATGAGATGGAGAGGTGCTGGATTTGTGTCACTATGCAGGCACTTGTGTATAGGAATGTAGGCTTCTCACGTTGACACTTAGTGTTGATGCATTCCCTACTCTCTAAAAGCCTTCCTAAGAGTTCACCACCCTACTGACCATGAATAGTTCCTGGTCTCCTCCCCGTCACCTTGCAGATATACAGCAGTGGAGGTTGACACAAGGTGCAAAGGAGAATATGAACCAAATACTGTCGTCTTGAGGAAAAAATAGGACTGTGCTAAACGTAGGATCTTCACAAGACATGACATCAGTGGGCTCAGCACTTAGTTTGCATAGCATATCGATGTCTTCATTTTTCACAAACACGTTGCCCAAAAAGAAAACGGGTAGAGTGAATTCCCGGTGCTAGGACAGATCAATGGGCCAACATGACCAATGAGGTTTTCATGAAGGCAAGGCAAATTTGAACGTCAGGAAGTACGAAACAAAAAGGTGTGCTTCTATCCACGCGTACTGACAA